ATTTGCGCAGGCGACTTTTTTTGGCGGTTTTCTGGACTATCGCCAAATATATAAACCTTTATTGCGGCCCAATTTACCACCCAATTTTTTTAAAATTTTGTCTACCCCCACTAATTCAAGGGTCTAGATTCCAAATATGTAAAAAAAATTATATGTTTATTCAGAGAAAGTACGTTTTTGTGTCTGATTTCGTAACTTAATTAATAGTTAGCACTAATTAATTAACATATTTGAGGTCACCCCCAGGAACCATTAAGATTGACACTTAGTTCGTGAAAATCCGATCATTAGAACGTAAGTTATTCAGGGTGATTCGTTTTTTTTTTTGCGGACTGTACAAAAATTCCATAATTGTACTTTTCCAATGATTATTATCTGTAACAAAAATAGTAATAATCTGAATAACTTACCAGCTATTACTATACTCAAATTAGTTGCTCAACAGTTGCCACTTTACATATTAATTATTTTTTTATTGATTAGCTATCTTTAAATGGATACGCTTCTGCCTTAAACCTGTCAACATTACAAACAATAGCCCTGATTTTTTACACAGCTTTCAAAGGCAAACAGTTAGTAACAGTTATTTACCATCCAAACTTTTGAGAGAATGGGTAAAGTGACTAGCTAACGGTATATTATGTCAATTAAAATTTTGTTATGATGAAAACTGTCATAAACCGGTTCTTCATAAATATACATTAAAATTAACACTATTTTTACCTCGATTGATAAATTTCTGAAAATATATCTATATCTGTCGAAAAAATACAACAATAAGGAGCACTAGCTGAGGAAATATAAAACAGTAATAATAATAAGACGACTTACTCATTGCAGAATTCGGAATATATCTTGTCCTTTTATAGATTCAAATTTGTATTTTGGTTTTCGTTGGAGCAATAGTCTTTTAACTTCGAATAGCATTAAATCATGGTAATAGTTTTTACAATAGATATTTAAACAATTGAACTGATTTTTCTGATTACGCATCTGATAAATAATAAATTTAAAGTTAAGCATAAGACAAGAGATTTCTGATAGCAGACATAAAGATAATTCTGGTGACCTTTAAATATGACCTCGTGGATGTTTTGAAACTCAAGTGCAAAGTGCTGGAAACAAAAGGTAGATAATTCTTTATTTAAAGAAAAATTAATTAGGAAAATTAAAAAACACATAAATCGCAAAAAAGAGGCTGTTTAGAGAAGAAAAAAAATTGTGATGCGGGATTTTACTAAAAAATTAATTTAAATCCTTTTTATATAAAAAAGTAGTGATAAAATTTAGCTAACTTTATCCTAGTTTGCATGAGAATGACAAGTGACAACCTAGTATAATTTCATGTCAATTGGCCCACTGGATTATTTCGCCCTCTCAGAAAGTAGGCAGTATCTCTATAAAAGATTTTGTATTCGCCAAAATAAAACATTTTGTTTAGGATGGCAGAATTGGATATCGCAACAGTTTGAAAAACTAAGCTTTAAGACATTTGCATATAAAATTTTCAATGTTATTTATTCCAGCATCATTCTAGTCATAATATTTTGGAATTTTTTTTTTTAAATTAGAAAAAAAAAGGAAAAAGAATAATGAAAAATAGAAAAATATTTGTATTTTTGTCCTTTCACTGTTATTGAGAAAAAGTCACTCAAAATTTTAAAAATTTATTTAACCTAACAAAATGAATTGTCAAGCGCTATTATCTCAGATTTTATAGTCTTGAAACATAACTAGCTATTTACTATCTTTGACAGACTAATTTTTTATTAGTACCATCTCCCTACACTTAATTGGACGTCGAATAAATCGCTTATATGAATAAAATTTAATGAAACCAAATCATTTTATATTAAACTAATATTGTTGTTGTAATTCATTTACGTCGCACTAAAGCTGCACAATGGGCTATTGGCGACGGTCTGGGAAACTTCCCTGAGGATGATCCGAAGACATGCCTTCACAATTTTGATCCTCTGCAGAGGGGGAAACTAATGCTGAATTTCCCCGTTTAAACGGTTATTTGTTGTTTCTAGTCCTTGTTTAATTGCTTAAAAAAGAGATACTGAAATGAAAAAAAAAATGCATATATATTTTTTGTAAATTTTTAACCAGGTAGAATGGGAATTTCCGTTTTTCAGTTAAGAACAATATAGATTGTAGCTTCAATAGGGACTTCCCGTTCATTAGTTTTCCGAAACAGGTGTTAGGGGTATAGTTCAAGAATTAATAAAATCTTGCTGGCATATTTTAGAAAAAGATAATAACTAATATAAATAAAAACTAATTTTCGTATAAGTCAATCAGATTCTCCTCTCAAAATTATCAGTGTTATATTTTTAAATTATTTTATTTAAATATATGTTGACACATTTTAAAATTTGGTTTAAATACAATATTTACAGTTTCTTTTATGACAAGTGCTAAAACTTTTCAACAAAGTTATTGACCATATTAGTCTAAACTAATATTTCTTAAAATATAATTTTGTTACATTTTTCGGAAGTAGATGCTGAAACTCGCAAAAGAGAATATTTTCGTTCGAATTTGATTTTCGCCTGACAAGGTTGAATCGTTTTTTATCACACTTATGTAGAAAAAAAAGTTGCATGAAATATTAAACATAATCATACAAGTTATGTGATTTACTCATATTAATACTATGTCACTTTCTCTTTCCAATATTTGCCCTACAGAAATTTTAGAATAAAAATCTATCCAAATTTTCTTTCTACTTGAGTATGTAATTAGCCTGGAAAATTTCGGTAAAATATATACTGAAATTTAAGTATTATTTTTTCTTTAATTCAAGCAATACGTATGAACTTAATCGATGCGATAAATTTAGAGTGATAAATTTTGGTTAAGAATTTTTAAGAAAGTTGTAGTTTCGCTATTCATGCCAAACAAAATCTAACGCATATACACTTATTCTTATGAAACATTTTAAATTTCTGTTCGAAAAGCGATAAAGAAAAAAAACAAAAACCTTAGAATGAGTTTAAATTCAAAGATCCTATCCTCAATTAAAGAATAATTCTCATAAATTATAATTATAGGTATACTTACTTTTAATAAGAATGCCGTAATCATTCGTTGTCGCGAAAAATCTTTGTATTAGAATTGTTTTGTCTTTATTTATATTTAATGAAGAGGGTTCAATAAAGAAAAATAAATTTATACTATTTTGGTTTTGTGTTTTCGGTAATATGTTATATTACCTTAAAAATTAAGAATTTAGAAAAAAATAATAATAATAAATTTTTAATTAAAACTTTAATGTGCTTTTACTTTGTTATTTTGCTGAAATTGTTATAACAGCTTATTAAATTGATTTCGTCATAAAGTAAAATAATAATAGTATTAAGTCAGCATTGAAAAGAAATAACTATTAAATGATTGTTAAACAGGGCAGAGTATCAATTATTTTCATAGTAATATCGAAAAAGCAAATCCTTAATTTATTATCACCCAAATTTTGAGTTTGCGTAACTAAATTTTTCTAAACTGAATGAAATAAATAAGTAATGTCTACTTTCGTTTTAGTAAGTACAAACTGGTGCGTTCGTCCATTGCACTTTAAAGTATGTCATTTGTAAATAAAAACTAATTTTCATCAGATTATTATCGATCAGATTCTCCAGTCAAGATTATTAACGTTTTATTTTAAAATTATTTTATTTAAATATTTATTAGCATATTTTACCAATTTGTTTAATTACAATATTTTTATTCTCTTATATGAAAAGTGTAAAAAATTTCTAACCAAGTGGCCAAATTTACTAGATCTTCCCGAATCTAGTAAATTTGGCGAAGAGACGTCTGAGAAATCTATACTTATGCCAAATTTTTTTTCATTAAAAAATAAATACTTTCACTGATAAAATAATCAAAGAATTACTTGTTAAAAGTTTATTAGACAAGCCTACAATTTTTACAGAATGAGTTATCTCTATAATCAGAGAATTCAAGCCGAAGGCGCAATCGGGAAAATATTTTAACATCATTAATCTGTTCCAATAATACACAGCTTAGGAAAGATCTTTTCAGTTAACTCTGTATCTTACCAAGTTCCATCGTCTGTGAATCATGTATGTAATATTCTATTTAAAATTGTAGTTTGTACTAGGATCGTTGTGATAATATATATCATATTTTGGAATTAAATTCAGAACTTTGAATGATAGCGCCAAGGTATAATTAATAGCAATTTTATAAAATAACTAGGGAAGTCCACACCCTACTAGCTGCACTCTCAAACCCACGAAACTGCTTTCGCAGTCTTTTTTTTTTTCGGATCACTATCCAATCAGATTTCGCTTTGATCCCTCATTGGATAATGATGAATTTTAGTCAAATTTCGTATGAATGGTGGCACTCTTTTTAAAATGAAGCTCTAAAAATATTAAACATAAGGGCTCTCCAGCATGAATATGCTACACATTGTTTTATTATCAGAAAGTTTTCCAGAGAGGTATCGAAATTTACCGAATCACTGCATAAAAAGGTGGTACTGAAAAAAAAAATCTAAATATTATACGGAAAAATCAATATCATGCAGGTACCAAAATTTTTAGTGGAATGTGTGAAACAAGAAAATAAGTTTTTTCTTAAGATTTTAATTGTTTTAAATTATTTTACAAATATTTGAAGCTAAAGAGATATTTATTCTTTATGCACCATTTCCTAGACATCGCATTGAACAATCCGTTTACTGTACAAAAAATATATCTCTCATAACATGCAGTGGTATATAAAAGAGACTATTAATGAAAGCATTCATATAATCTTGAATGCATTTTGCATCTCAACTAAGAATACCACAAATCATAAATATCATCATCTTCACATGAAATAAAATTATTTTCATCACTATCGTAGTTGTAAGAAGAATCACTGGTGTCATCCCCATTAATATCCTTTCCTTTCAATATACGATTTATAATCTTTGCATCAGTATTATCGAGAATTTCGCCTTCACCTGCTGAATTCGATTTCCATTCTAAGCAGTCCAGTAAATAAATGAAGGCTCGTTGCCTTTGTGGAGCAGAGCTGTCACAGAATCCAATGAATTTGCAAACTTCTAACGACTTGAGTTTACCAATAGTTTCACTTGAGAGAGGATAGAACCATTTTAATCTGCTACGAAAGCTATCCAAGCCGAATTGGGATGTATGATGCCAGCTATATAAAAGCATTCCGATTCCCTTTTTAGAGAGCAATAAATCATTCTTGTACCGATTGACCTCGCACAGTGAGTTACAGCACCAGTTTAAGAAATGTGTTGCAAATTTCAAATTACCGAGTTTTAAGAAAGTGGGTACACTCTTCAAATACAATTTTTTGAACTGGGAAATTTCTTCAGAACAACTTAAGCTATGATTTATAAATCTTTCAAATCTATCCCATCCAGTCTCGTAGTCATTGCTCATTTCGATCAACAGGTTGAAACATCGAGGAAAGTTGCCTTTTTGAATAAAAGTTTTTTTGAAGGAAGTAATATCTTCTTCCGTCTCAAAGCGCTATTTTAAAAATGTGTTTACGCATTCGTAATCATTTAATCGAATCAAAGAAATGTAAATTTTCATTAGATTAAGTATTTCTTTCTTATAATGTTTGATTTCATTTTCGGATGGAAAAATCCAATTTAACCATGCATCGACAATTGGAATATCATTGCTGATGATTAAAAAAGAAATTACACGCTTATATTCTAATATAAGCATCTTGATCATACGTATGATATCATCATGCATTGGTAAAAGCTTTTTTATTAACGTGTCCAGAAAAGTAACTTTACCGGATAAAATTACGTGACTTAAGTCATTATAATTTATTATATTCAGGGCAATGTCTCTTCTTTCTTCAGGTGGAATATTGCTTATTATCACATCGATTGTTCTAGTGTCATTTACTTCAAGTAAATTCCATAATAAGCCTTCCATATTTAGGCTAAGTGAGTTTTTTAATCTTATTGGACTAAGATGCCAGATTTCTCTGATCAGATCGCCAGTGGTTCTGCCACCTTTTATTTCCTCGGTAATGTCGGATATTATTCCGAAATAAACATCTTCCTTAAGATAATCGAACATCAGTCCGATTGTGGGCAGGAAAAATCTTTGCCAAGGCCAACAAAAAAATAAAGTTTTTAATATTATCTCAGAATGAGTTTGAAAAATACAATACTTTTTCTGTTGATCATTCATTTTAGATAACAAAAAGAACAAAATATCTGCAAACGGGTTGTATTGTTGATATTTAATGACTGTAGCATTCAAAATTTTATCTCTGAGTTCCATTAATACCAAATTGATCCAGTACTCCATATTGATATTCTTTTCTTGCTCCGTTAATAACTTCCAGAAGTATTTGAGAGCAAATATGTTCCCAACACGCACGGACATCGAAGTCATATTTTGATAAATACTCCGATTAGAATCATATTCATATTAGACCAAACTCGTAATCTTATTAAAAAATCTGGGCAATTCGTTTTCAAGATAAGCAGTCCAATAGTCTACTATATGATCCCTATATGCGTTATAATAGGCATTATAAAACTTTTTCTTTTTCTCAGAACTCATATTCTGCCATAAATATGAAATATTTTCCTCTAAGCAGTACTTACAAGCTAACTCATACAAAGAACTGATGTCTTTTACTTGGTCTTCATTATTAATCACCTCTTTGAGAGATTTAACGTTATCGATAACTCCTTCCATTGTGTAATAAATAGATCCTCCAATTTTATGAATATCACGGAAATCACAATTCATTTCATCGAAATAATAATTAGTTTCGCATAATTGTAGCCCTACAGGCTCAATAACATTAGATATTTTGATTTTTAGTAAATCTGGCAAGATGTGTCTTTTTAATTTGTTTAACACTCTTTCTTTTAATTCACTAAAACTATAAAGATTATTTAAAGTATCAAAATGCACATTTTCAGGTTCTGACCACAATCTTACTGCTGTGCACACGAGTGCTATACTCTCTAGTGAAGGCGGCTCGGTATAGTCTACGAAGTTGTCATGTTCTTTTCCATCTCTTTCTTGTTGCTCGCCTGCAATGAACAATTTTTATATTTAGTTCTGAGATGCCATTTCTTTATCGTGATGAACTACAAAAACGATAGCAAATTCAAGAGCTGAGTAAAAGGCGGGTTGAGAGGATTCTCTTTTTATTTATTCAGTTTTTAGTATTTTAAAATGCTATTTGCGATAAAAATTTTAAAATTACATTAGCTTGCCTTAATAATTGAGGGAGAAGAAATTTTCCTCTAAAAAACATAGCGGTAAAAAAAAATTATTTTAAAAAATAAAATAACACATTCACAAACACATTGTTTGAGTGATTTTTTGTTACTGGATGATTTACTGCTTAAACACAATCAAAACAGTAGAGATGCATTGTTCTTGGTGATATATTTGAAACAGATTTGGCTTTATAGATCCCAGTAAGTTTGACAAAGAGACGTCTAAAAAATTCTACAACTATACTCATTTTTTTTCATTAAAAAATAAATAATTTTCACTGATAAAAAATAAAAGGATCAAAGGTTGCATGTCAGGAAAAATGTACAAAAATTCCATAATTGTACTTTTCCAATGATTATATTATCTGTAACAAAAATAGTAATAATCTGAATAACTTACCAGCTATTACTATACTCAAATTAGTTGCTCAACAGTTGCCACTTTACATATTAATTATTTTCTTATTGATTAGCTATCTTTAAATGGATACGCTTCTGCCTTTAACCTGTAAACATTACAACAATAGCCCTGATTTTTTACACAGCTTTCAAAGGCAAACAGTTAGTAACAGTTATTTAACATCCAAACTTTTGAGAGAATGGGTAAAGTGATAAGCTAACGGTATATTATGTCAATTAAAATTTTGTTTTTATGATAACTGTCATGAACCGGTTCTTCATAAAAATCTATACTAAAATATACATTAAAATGAAACACAATTTTTACCTCGGTTGATAAATTTCTGAAAATATATTGAGCTGATTTTCGAACCTGATGTCGAAAAAATACAACAATAAGAAGCACTAGCTGAGGAAATATTAAACAGTAATAATAATAAGACAACTTACTCATTGCAGAATTCGGAATATATCTTGTCCTTTTATACATTAAAATTTGTGTTTTCGTTTGAACATTAGTCTTTTAACTTCGAATAGCATTAAATCATGGTAATAGTTTTTACGATATATACTTAAACAATTGGACGGATTTTTCTGATTACACATCTGATAAATAATTAATTTAAATACAAGCGTAAGACAAGAGATTTCTGATAGCAGACATAAAGATAATTCTGGTGACTTTTAAATATGACCTAGCGGATGTTGTGAAGCTCAAGTGCAATGTGCTGGAAACAAAAAGGAGATAATTCTTTATTTACAGAAAAATTAATTGGGAAAATTAAAAAACACATAAATCGCAAAAAAGAGGCTGTTTAGAGAGGAACAAAAATTGTGATGCGGAATTTAACTATAAAATTAATTTAAATCCTTTTTATGTAAAAAAAATAATAATAAATTTTAGCTAACTTTATCCTAGTTTGCATGAGAATGACAAGTGACAACATAGTATAATTTTATGTCAATTGGCCCACTGGTTTATTTCGCCCTCTCAGAAAGTAGGCAGTATCTCTATAAAAGATTTTGTATTCACCAAAATAAAATATTTTGTTTAGGGCGGCAGAATTGGATATCGCAACATTTTGAAAAATTATGCTTTAAGACATTTGCATATAAAACTTTCAATGTTATTTATTCCAGCATCATTCTAGTCATAATATTTTGGAATTTTTTTTTAAATTTAAAAAAAAAGAAGAATAAAAATTAGAAAAATATTTGTATTTTTGTCCTTTCACTGTTATTGAGAAAAAGTCACTCAAAATTTTAAAAATTTATTTAACCTAACAAAATGAATTGTCAAGCGCTATTATCTCAGATTTTATAGTCTTGAAACATAACTAGCTATTTACTATCTTTGACAGACTAATTTTTAATTAGTAAAATCGCCCCACACTTAATTGGACGTCGAATAAATCGCTTATAAAAATAAAATTTTGTGAAACCAAATCATTTTATATGAAACTAATATTGTTGTTGTAATTCATTTACGTCGCACTAAAGCTGCACAATGGCGACGGGCTGGGACACATCCCTGAAGATGATCCGAAGACAGGCCATCACAATTTTGATCCTCTGCAGAGGGGGAAACTAATGCTGAATTTCCTCGTTTAAACGGTTATTTGTTGTTTCTAGTCCTCGCTTAATTGCATAAAAAAGAGATACTGACATGGAAAAAAAAATATACCTATATATTTTTAGTAAATTTTTAACCAGGTAGAATGGGAATTTCCGTTTTTCAGTAAAAAACAATATAGGTTGTAGCTTCAATAGGGACTTCCCGTTCATTAGTTTTCCGAAACAGGTGTTAGGGGTATAGTTCAAGAATTAATAAAATCTTGCTGGCATATTTTAGAAAAAGATAATAACTAATATAAATAAAAACTAATTTTCGTATAAGTCAATCAGATTCTCCTCTCAAAATTATCAGTGTTATATTTTTAAATTATTTTATTTAAATATATGTTGACACATTTTAAAATTTGGTTTAAATACAATATTTACAGTTTCTTTTATGACAAGTGCTAAAACTTTTCAACAAAGTTATTGACCATATTAGTCTAAACTAATATTTCTTAAAATATGATTTTGTTACATTTTTTGGAAGTAGGGGCTGAAACTCGCAAAAGAGAATATTTTCGTTCGAATTTGATTTTTGACCGACAAGGTTGAATCGTTTTTTATCACACTTGTGCAGAAAAAAAAGTTGCATGAAAGATTAAACATAGCGGTACAAGTTATGACTTACTCATCTTGATACTATTTCACTTTCTCTTTCCAATACTTGCCCCACAGTAATTTTAGAATAAAAATCTATCCAAATTTTCTCTCTACTTGCGTCGCAATAAAGTATTTAATTAGCCTGGAAAATATCGGTAAAATATAAACTGAAATTTAAGTATTATTTTTTCTTAAATTCGAGCAATACGTATGAACTTAATCGATGTGATAAATTTTGGTTAAGAATTTTTAAGAAAGTTGTAATTTCACTATTCATGCCAAACAAGATCTAACACATATACACTTATTCATACGAAACATTTTAAATTTCTGATCAAAAAGCGATGAAGAAACAAAACAAAAACCTTAGAATGAATTTAAATTCAAAGATCCTATCCTCAATTAAAGAATAATTCTCATAAATTATAATTATAGGTATACTTACTTTTAATAAGAATGCCGTAATCATTCGTAGTAGCTGAAAATCTTTGCATTGGAATTGTTTTGTCTTTATTTAATGAAAAGGGTATTGTTCATTAAAGAAAAATAAATTTATATTATTTTGTTTTTGTGTTTTCGGTAATATGTTATATTATCGTAAAAATTAAAAAAAATATATTAAATGTTTAATTAAAACTTTAATGTGCTTTTACTTTGTGATTTTGCTGAAATTGTTATAACAGCCTATTAAATTTATTTCGTCATTAAGTAAAATAATAATAGTATTAAGTCTGCATTGAAAAGAAATAACTATTAAATGATTGTTAAGGGCAGAGTATCAATTATTTTCATAGTAATATCGAAAAAGCAAATCCTTAATTTATTATTTTATTATCACCCAAATTTTGAGTTTGCTTAACTAAATTTTTCGAAACTGAATGAAATAAATAAGTAATGTCTACTTTCGTAATAGTAAGTACAAGCTAGTGCGTTCGTCCATTGAACTTTTAAGTATGATGATATTTGTAAATAAAAACTAATTTTCAGCAGATTATTATCAATCAGATTCTCCAGTCAAAATTATTAACGTTTTATTTTAAAATTATTTTATTTATATATTTGTTAACATATTTTACCAATTTGTTTAATTACAATATTTTTATTCTCTTATATGAAAAGTGTAAAAAATTTCTAACCAAGTGGCCAAATTTACTAGATCTTCCCGGATCTAGTAAATTTGGCGAAGAGACGTCTGAGAAATCTATACTTATGCCAAATTTTTTTTCATTAAAAAATAAATACTTTCAATGATAAAATAATCAAAGAATTACTTGTTAAAAGTTTATTAGACAAGCTTAGAATTTTTACGGAATGAGTTATCTCTATAATCAGAGAATTCAAGCCGAAGGCGCAATCGGGAAAATATTTTAACATCATTAATCTGTTCCAATAATACACAGCTTAGGAAGGATCTTTTTAGTTAACTCTGTATCTTACCAAGTTCCATCGTCTGTGAATCATGTATGTAATATTCTATTTAAAATTGTAGTTTGTACTAGGATCGTTGTGATAATATATATCATATTTTGGAATTAAATTCAGAACTTTGAATGATAGCGGCAAGGTATAATTAATAGCAATTTTATTAAATAACTGAGGAAATCCACACCCTGCTCGCTGCACTCTCAAACCCTCAAAACTGCTTTCGCAGTTTTTTCTTTTCTTTTTCTGATCACTATCCAATCAGAGATCGCTCTGATCTCTCATTGGATACTGATGAATTTTATATGAGCGGTGGTACTCTTTTTAAAATGAAACTCTAAAAATATTATTGCAGCATGATATTAAATATAATCATGCTGTGAAACCCTTGATTTGCCTTAAGAAAGCAATTACTTCTGTACTTAAATTAGAATATTAGGTTCTAATCCTACTACTTTAAAAATAGTAACTTTTATAACAGTTAAATAAGTAGCAATGGCGTCAGTAATGGTTTCACAACCACTCCCTCTAGACTAGACAGAATAGAATGCTCATTTCTGTTTAAGAATCCAAAGAATAATGGTTAGAAAACAAACAAACAAAAAAAATTTTTTTGAATTTAGGTAAGATATCAATAATTGAGCAACGTCATTCGACATAATTACCATTAAAAGAGCTATTCGAAAAATTGACAGACACAATTGTAAGTTTGAAGATACAGAAATAAAATTTAAACATCTGAAGCTTCACTTAGTATAAATAACATTGAAATTATTTTTGACTTTTTTTGTTTGTTTGAAAATATAGTATCTAACTATGTGTGAAAACAAAATTGAGATCGAGAGACTGTTTTATTTCACTACGAAAAAGCTTGAAACATTTTGCATAAATTACTCTTTCTATTTCTTTAATGGCCAAAAGCAAAAAATACTCATTCTTTACAATGTTAAGCATACTATTTAAAATTTTGAGACAATAATTGTGGCCAAGGATATTGTACTCGAAAAAATGTTCAATGTTAATTAAAACATTGCAAGCGCGCCTTTCAACTTTTACTGATTTTGTCGTTTATACATTGCTTTAGTATCACAATTTTTTCCAAAGTTTAAAGAAAGGTATCAAAATTTACCGAATCACTGCATAAAAAGGTGGTACTGTAAAAAAAATCAAAATATTATACAGAAAAATCGATATCATGTAGGTACCAAAAATTTTAGTGGAATGTGTGAAACAAGAAAGTAAGGCTTTTCTAAAGATTTTAATTGTTTTAAATTATTTTACAAATATTTGAATCTAAAGTGATATTTATTTTTTATGTAACATTTCCTAGAGATTCCATAGGACTATCCATTTACTGTACAAAAAAAGTATCTCTCAGGGATATATAAAAGACATTATTAATGAAAGCATTCATATAATCTTTCGCATTTTGCATCTCAACTAAGAATACAACAAATCATAAAAAATCATCATCTTCACATAAAATAAAATTATTTTCATCACTATCGTAGTTGTAAGAAGAATCACTGGTGTCATCCCCATTAATATCCTTTCCTTTCAATATACGATTTATAATCTTTGCATCAGTATTATCGAGAATTTCGCCTTCACCTGTTGAATTCGATTTCCACTCTAAACAGTCCAGTAAATAAATGAAGGCTTGTTGCCTTTCTGGAGCATAGCTGTCACAGAATCCAATGAATTTGCGAACTTCTAACGACTTGAGTTTATCAATAGTTTCAGTTGAGAGAGGATAGAACCATTTTAATCTGCTACGAAAGCTATCCAAGCCGAAATACAATGTATGATGCCAGCGATATAAAAGCATTCCGATTCCTTTTTTAGAGAACAATAAATCATTTTTGTACCGATTGACCTCGTCCAGTGAGTTACAACACCATTTTAAGTAATGTGTTGCAAATTTCAAATTACCGCGTTTTAAGAAAGTTGGTACACTTTTCAAATACAATTTCTTGAACTGGGAAATTTCTTCGGAACAAGTTAAGCTATGATATATAAATCTTTCAAATCTATTCCATCCAGTCTCGTAGTCATTGCTCATTTCGATCAACAGGTTGAAACATCGAGGAAAGTTGCCTTTTTGAATAAAAGCTTTTTTGAATGAAGTGATATCTTCTTCCGTCTCAAAACACCATTTTAAAAATGTGTTTACGTATTCGTAATTATTTAATCGAATCAAAGAAACGTAAATTTTCATTAGATTAAGTATTTCCTTCTTATAGTGTTTGATTTCATTTTCGGACGGAAAAATCCAAGTTAACCATGCATCGACAATTGGAATACCATTGCTGATGATTAAAAAAGAAATTTCACGCTTATATTCCAATGTACGCATCTTGATCATACGTGTGATATCATCATCCATTGGTAAAAGCTTTTTTATTAACGTGTCCAGAAAAGTAACTTTACCAGATAAAATTACGTGACTAAAGTCATTATAATTTATTATATTCAGGGCAATGTCTCTTCTTTCTTCAGGTGGAATATTGCTTATTATCGCATCGATTGTTCTAGTGTCATTTACTTCAAGTAAATTCCATAATAAGCCTTCCATATCTAGGCTGAGTGAGTTTTTTAATCTTATTGGACTTAGGCGCCAGATTTCCCTGACCAGATCGCCCGTGGTTCTGCCATTTTTTATTTCCTCGGTAATGTCAGACATTATTCCAACATAAACATCTTCCTTAAGATAATCAATCATCAGCCTGATTGTGGGCAGGAAAAATCGTTGCCAAGGCCAACAGAAAAATAAAGTTTTTAATATTATCTCAGAATGAGTTTGAAAAATGCAATACTTTTTCTTTTGATCATTCGTTTTAGATAACAAAAAGAACAAAATATCTGCAAATGGGTTGTATTGTTGATATACATTGTTGATAACATTCAAAATATTATGTCTGAGTTCCTTTAATACCAAATTTATCCAGTACTCCATATTGATATTTTTCTCTTGCTCTGTTAATAACTTCCAGAAGTATTTGAGAGAAAATATGTTACCAACAAACACGGACATCGAAGTCATATTTTGATAAATGCTCTGATTAGAATCATATACATCGTAGCCAAAACTCGTAATCTTATAAAAAAAACTGGGCAATTCGTTTTCAAGATAAGCAGTCCAATAGTCTACTATATGATCCCTATATGCGTCGTAATAGGCATTATAGAACTTTTTCTTTTTCTCATAACTCATATTCTGCCATAAATATGAAATATTTTCTTCTAAGCAGTACTTACAAGCTAACTCATACAAAGAACTGATGTCTTTTACTTGGTCTTCATTATTAATCACCTCTTTGAGCGATTTAAGGTTATCGATAACTCCTTCCATTGTGTAACAAATAGATCCTCCAATTTTATGAATATCTCGGAAATCACAATTCATTTCAGCTAAATAATAATTAGTTTCGCATAATTGTAGCCCTATAGGCTCAATAATATTAGATATTTTGATTTTTAGTAAATCTGGCAAGATGAGTCTTTTTAGTTTGTTTAACACTCTTTCTTTTAATTCTCTGAAACTATAAAAATTATTTAAAGTATCAAAATGCACAGTTTCAGGTTCTGACGACCACAATCTCACTGCTGTGCACACGACTGCTATACTCTCTAGCGAAGGCGGCTCCGTATAGTCTACGAAGTTGTCATGTTCGGTGGATTCTTTTCCATCTCTTTCTTGTTGCTTGCCTGCAATGTACAATTTTTATATTTAGTTTTGGCATGATATTTCTTAATCGTGATGACGTACAATAACAATAGTAACTGAATAAAAGGCGGATTGAGAGTATTCTTTTTATTTATTCATTTTTTAGTACTTTAAAATGCTATTGCGAAGCGGGACGAACAAAATTAGATTTAATAAAATAACACATTTACAAACCAATTGTCTCAGTGACTTTTTGTTACTGGATGATTTACTGTTTAAACACAATTAAAACAGTAAAGATGCATTGGTTCTTGTATTGGTAATATATTTAAAACAGATTTGACTTTATAGAACCCAGTAAGTTTGACAAGGAGACGTCTAAAAAAATCTACAACTATAGTAAATTTTTTTCATTAAAAAATAAATCATTTTTACTGATAAAAAAATCAAAGAATCATAAAATTATAATTGTAAAAAAATTTTTACAGAACGATTTATGCCTATAACTGCGAGTTAAAGCCATTAACGAAATATTCCAACAAACTAACATCATTAATCTGCTCTTAAGGTACACAGCTGATTTATAATCAGGAAAGATCTTAGTAATTCACACGATATCACTCCACATTCCATTGTTTGTGAGTCGTGGAAGTAACTTTGTATTTAAAAATTATAGTTTGAAGAATTTTGAAAGATAAACCAAAAGTATGAAAAATGTCAGTTATTAATATAAGAGAATTAATAAACTTCACCCCTACACACTACCCTCACCAACCACAAAACTGCTTTCGCTGTTTCTTTCGAATCGCTTTGAATTTTTTTTTTTTTTTTTTTAATTAAGCTCTAAAAACATTAAACATATACATCCTGTTTGATTTATTTACGTTTCGCTACTATTTCGTTCCATTGAGCCTTAAAAAACCTATTACCTCAGTACTTATACACATATATGGCAGTACTTTTACTTTCGTTATTTGTACCGCCGGTACAAGTAAAAAGTACGTACTTTTACTTGTACTTCGTCACTTTTTAAATTTAGTACTTTTACTTGTACTTTCGTTACTTTTTTAGGGAAAAAGTACAAGTATTTGTAACGGAAATGTCGAATGAAATCGTTACTTTTTTCTAAAACTCGGTAAGCTTTCTAAAAAAAAAAGAAATTAAAATTAAAAAAAAATGCTTATGTTTTTTTAATTTATAAAATTAATGTGCAATATATATGCATTCACAGCTAACTTCGTGTTTAAATACCTTCTGTTTCAACTTATACTGCACATTCAATTATTTTTTACTAGCTCAAAGATCACAAAGCTATCTGAAACCCCGTGTTTGCTTTGTTTATGTTTGTGCTTTTAAAACGCGTTTCTAAAGAGTAAAACAATTTTAAATCAATGGTAATTTAAATAAATAAAAATAATAAACTAAAAATTAAAATCAATAGATAAAATTTCTTTTTCGTGCAAATCCATAAAAAGTTTGATATTAAAATTATATTTGATTTTAAAATTATATTATACGATTATATTATAAAATTATATTATAATATTCTTCCGAATTTAAAAATAAATTAATGTCCATAACTTTCAAAATTAAAAATAATTAAATAAATAACAACAATTTTGCAAAAACATTAAAGAACATAAGAATATTATTCAATAAAATTTTAGGTTACTTTGAATTTTCGATTTCCTAGAAATGTACTTTTAAATCGTTACTTTTTTTGTTTAGTACTTGTACTTTTTACTCGTTACTTTTTAAAATAAGTACTTTTTACTCGCTACTTTTTTTAAAAATACTTGTACTTTTACTCGTTACTTTTTAAAAGAATAAAAAAAAATTGGGGCAAAACTCGAGTCAAGATCTTCTACTTTGCCCCCTGAATGTATTTTTCCCTTTAAACACAGGGAACGTACCATCCTTTGGGGGGGGCGGTTTACATTATGTCTATGGGTACTGGTCTTCTTCCCCACCTATGTATATTCTTTGCAGTGACATTTAAATAGAGGTGGCCAAAGTAATTCAATTTTTTCTATAGATCAACGGTTGCAACTGCAGAACTATAAAAAATTGCTTGGAAATAAATAGGTATAAAAATTCTACATTCATATCTCTCCAATGTTTATTATTTGTAATAAAAATAGCAAACATATGAATAACTAATTTACCAGCTATTCAGATTTTTGCTCATGAAAAACATTGCCCACTTTAAAAAAAAAAAAAAAAAACATGGAAATTAAAGAAAAAAATATTTCAAAATAATCATACTTCCCCAATGATTATAATCTGTAATAAAAATAGTAATAATCTGAACAACTTACCAGCTATTACTATTTACTAACAAAACAAATTTACTAAGGTACTCAAATTACTTGCTCAACAGTTGTCACTTAACAAATTATTCATTTTCACATTGATAAAGAATTTAAAAATGGAAACACTTCGACCTTAAACGTGTCAACATTACAAACAATAGCCCTGATTTTTTACAGAGTTTTTAAAGGCAAATGAGTGACAGTTATTTACCATCCAAACTTTTAGGCTGGTAAAGTAACTAGCTAACGGTTCTCTATAAAAAAAATATATACACTAAAATATACATTCAAATAAAAATGAAACACAATTTTTAGCTCGATTGATAAATTTCTGAAAATATATTGAGCTGATTTTTGAGCCTGACGTCGAAAATATACAACAATAAGAAACATTAGCTGGTGAAATATAAAATAGTAATAATAATAAAACGACTTACTCATTGCAGAACTTGGGAAACACCTTATTCTTTTTACATTAAAACTTGTATTTTCGTTTTCTTTTGAGCAATTATCTTTTAACTTCGAATAGCATTAAATTACGGTAAAAAAATTTTCAAAACATATATTTAAACAATTGAAGTAATTTTTCTGATTACACATCTGATAAATAATTAATTTAAATACAAGCGTAAGACAAGACATTTCTGATAGCAGAGATAAAGATAATTCTGGTGACCTTCAAATATGACCTCACGAATGTTGTGAAACTTAAGTGCAAAGTGCTCGAAACAAAAACTAGATAATTCTTTATTTACAGAAAAATTAATTGGGAAAACTAAAAAAACACATAAATCGCGGCTGTTTAGAGAGAACAGAATTGTGATGCTGTATTTCACTAAAAAATTAATTTAAACCTTTTTTATATAAAAAAAATAATAAATTTTATCTAAGCTGAGAAATTTACCCTAACTTGTATGAGAATGACAAGTGACAACATAGTATAATTTCATGTCAATTGGCCCACTGGTTTATTTCGCCTTCCCAGAAAGTCGGCAGTATCTCTATAAAAGATTTTGTATTCATAAAAATAAAAGATTTTGTTTAGGACGGCAGAATTGGATATCGCAACAGTTTGGAAAATTTGGCTCTAAGACATTTGCATATAAAACTTTAAATATTGTTTATTCCAGCATCATTCTAGAACATCTGACAGTCATAATATTTTAGAATTTTTTTTTAAATTAAACAAAAAAAGAATAATAAAAATTAGAAAAATATTTGTATTTTTGTTCTTTCACTGTTATTTAGAAAAAGTCACTCAAAATTATAAAAAATTATTTAACCTAACAAAATGAGTTGTTAAGCCTTATTATCTCTGATTTTGTAGTCTTGAAACATAACTAGCTATTTACTATCTTTGACAGACTAACTTTTAATTAGTACAATCGTCCCACACTTACTTGGACGTCGAATAATCGAATAAATCGCTTATACAATAAAATTTAATGAAACCAAATAATTTAATATGAAACTAATGTTGAATTTCCGCGTTTAAACGGTTATTTGATGTTTCTAGTCCTCGCTTAATTGCATAAAAAGATACTGAAATAGAAGGGGGGAAAATACATTTTTTCAGGAAATTTTTAACCAGCTAGAATAGAAATTTCCGTTTTTCAGTTAAGAAAAATATAGCTTCAATAAGGACTTTTCGTTTGTTAGTTGTCCGAAACAGGTGTTAGGGTTATAGTTCAAGAATTAATCTAATCTTGCTGGCAACCATACATCAGAGTAAACGAAGGGACTTTTGCCCCTCTTTGACTCACACATCATTTAGAATGTCAGAAGTGTGTCAAACCTTCTTGTCTCGTCCTTGTGTTCTATTTGCTTTAATAAGAAAAAGTTACAAACTTCTGCTTACACATTAGTGTGTCTTTCTCTGAAATTGAATAATCATTGTTTACTCCAGCGAATAATTCTGAGTTGGTTCCATAGTGAGCGTGAAAATGAATGATTTGAGTTTATCTCAAAAAAATAGAAGTCTTGCAAGCAATAAATATCAAAAAATCTCAAACTGAAATAGCTAATCAAATTGGAATTTCTTAAGTCCAATTTTGATAAATTGACAAATTAAGCAAGTATCATAACAATCTTCAATTACAAATTTTTTCAGAGAAGAATAAAGTATTATAGCACATGTATTATTTGTTACCATTGATTTATTTTTATATAATTTAAAATGACATTTATATTTTAGGATAGCTTTACAGCTTTAATTATAATTGTTTATTGATCTTAAAATTGAGTTTATTTAATCGTAACATTATACTATGCATTAGATATCAGTAAAAAGTAAAATTTCATAAAAATTTAGCATTTAAGATTGAATAATGCACTCTGGATATAATCGCATAACCTACTTAATTAAATAGAGTTGGCTATAACCAATGGTATTTAAGCAGGATTGACAGCATTATAATATACCTTGATGATTATCATTACCAAGCGTAATTTCTCAGGACTCATGCCACAGTTTCAGACAATTTTCTAAAGATATTATTTATATCAAATCAAATCTAAATTAAAGTTATCTACAGATGCCAAAGATAGGGCGAGAGACTAAGATATATTCTCTCTTATTTTATATTTTAATATGATCATGTGGTATACAGAGCTTAATTTGAAGCAATGGAACATTACAAAAAAAAAAGTTTGTGGGTTGAAATCTTAATTTTCTCTTCTACAGCATTGTATAAATGAATTATTTCATAAATAAGAAAACAGTTTTAAATTATTACATATACTAAAATAATAGAAGTATCATAAAAGCCTTCTTTTTAAATATCAAAATGAAACGTTATCTTCAATGTGACTCAGAATACATTTATAATTTCAAAGCAACAGAGTAAAATGGAATAGCATTAAAAGTAAATTATTAAATTATAGCAAACTATTTATAAATTTTTAATAAATGCGTGTAGTTTATAGATTTCAGAAAATACTTACACATTAATTTTGACAGATATATTTAATCATGCATTTTACAAATGTATTTATACAGACTTATTTATCATTCGTATTATCACCTAAAAAATATCCCTCGTGTATATTCTGTAATGATTTCATTTCATTAAATTATAAATTTAAAAAAAAAAACATAAATTGGGAGTTTCAATCTTCACGCTGATCATGGATAAAATATCTGCCCATTTTCAATTGATTGTAATGATGAAATATCAGACTTGCCATTTACAGGATTTTTACAGGATTAGTTTTCATCAGCCTTCTTTCTTTTCTACCAATCATTACATTTAATATTTCCTTTTATGTTGGATAAGGCTAAAAATATATTTTTATTTTGTATTATTGAATAACATAATTTTTTAGATTTAAATTTTTTAAAGATAAGATTAGGTATTTTTTTAATGATAAGATAGATAAGATTAGGTATAATTTTTTAATGATAAGATAAATTTGAAGACAAAAAAAAGTAAAGTTGGTTGATAACTAATAAATATTATATTTATTAAAGTATGTCATATACATTGTTTATGCACTTTTGCCAACTGTGAAAGAGGAAACTGTGGTAACAGTATGAGTTTATTAACTCGTTACTGTAAAAAGAAATTAATGTACTAACATTATTATTTTATAAAAATTAATTAAAAAATTTTTTCGCAAATTATATTAACCTTTCCTTGGTTGACAATTATACCAAATGTCACTATGGCAAAGATGTTTTAGATCAATGATTTCAGTAACATTTTTTTTTAAAAATTTGTTAAAGATAAAAAAGGGGCGGAAACAAGATATTTTGATATATTTTTAAAATTTCTAAGAAATAAAAATAAAACTTTTTAAATTTGGTTACTTTTCTGCATTTATAATTAACTTACATTATTTCTTAATATTGAAAAGAAGTAGGCAGAGAAGGGTAATAATGATATGAATTTAGAATTTCCTTTTTTTTGTACAGAATATTTTTTGATTAACTATATTACTAATATTATAGCTCTTTTTTATTTGCACTTTATATAATGTTTAACTAAACAATATTATGCAGAACAGGTATTGCAAAAAGAAATCTACTTTAACCTTTCTACACCTAGGAAGGCTGAAATATGCATATTTCCTAAATTACGCTTCCTTAAAAATTTCCGATTTGCACCAACACCAGAAGATGAGCTAGCTAAATCTATTTGAAACAGACAATGTAAGTTAGAAGATGAGTATTAAAAACTTTTAAACTTCAGAAACAAAAAAAAAAAATAATAATAATTAAACATGCATGAAAACACTGACATTATTTGAAAATTTAACAGTATTCTTTGATTTATTGCACAAGAGAAAGCTTAAAACAAATTTATTACAAACTAAGTTTGTTCATTCCATTCCTCAGGATTTACATCAAAATCTCTCATTTTTAACTTCAGATTTATCCAAAAGCCGAATAGTCCCACGTCAACTATTCTTTGATAGAATGTAAAATATTTTGGTTGCAAATATTTGCATTGTGCAGGATAAATGTTACATTCATTGTTATAATCTGCTTCCCAAATTAAACTAAAGAATAACAAGTCCACTTTTCGTAGAAGACCTTGATTTTGACATCGAGTTAAATATGTTAAATGGTTCTCCGCTGCTGGATTTCGAATAGGATCACCCACCATTGAAAGTTCAGTAATGCACTGAAGTTGGCGATCATAGAATGATTGCTCATCAGGATTCATTTTCATAGCAGCAAGTAGGAGTCCCAATCCTAAACATACATGAAAAAAATATTAGTTAAACAAATATAGTAATGTTTATTAGTATTAACAAATATAGCATTTTTTAATTTAAAGCTGATCTATATAAAGAATGGCTACATGGTTTAAATTATATAGGCAAATATACACACACACATATATATATTTGAAATAACGACAATACAGTTAAACTTTAAAAACATCTGTTAACATAATACTTCAGTTTACCTAAGTGAATTCCAATATTTTTTTCAAGCATTTTTTTCCTTTTATTATTTTAATAATATGCTATCATAAATCTGCTTAGTAAGGCCTTCAATATAAAAATAAAAAGAACACTCCTGTTGAACTGCATGATTATATAACTGAGCATTTTGTGGAAGTAACAAATAAAAGTTTTTGATTTTGCTAAAAAAATATGGAAATGTTGTACAACTTATGTTGTTTCTACGCATGTAATTTAGTTTGATCCGACTACAACCTACACTTTTACTAAATAAAAAAAAAACTTAATTTAATCTTGGCAAAAAAATATGATATTATAGTGCAACTGGAATTGAGTTTTGGAAATACTTAAAAGTATATGCACAATTATTTTTTAAAAAAAATTGATTTTCAATATTTATTGATGGAAATATACTCATGTCCATAAATTAAGGATAATTCAGAATCACATGGAAATTAAACTTAAAAGTAAAAATTTCACTTGTAGAATTATCACACATATCTTCAAGAATAGTATCATGCGATGCCAATGGTATATCACAATAACAAGATTGAAAGGTACATAAAGAATGGTGGCAAAGAAGTAAATTTGTTGACAAGCATTCTGTAAGCTGCTCAATGCCATAACTGAATAGTTATGACGCAAATGATGCATGCGGATGATTTTTTGCTTGGTAGAATTATAAAACATCGAGAATAGGGGAACACATCCTGCGGCCCGCGAAAGCTTCTGAGCACAAAGTTTTTTTTCTTCTTGAAAAACAAAAAACTGAAAAATTTTAAATTACCTTTTTGAACGATCACTTTTTGATGTGGTCAATTTGCACAGATTCTGTTGTGGTTTTAAGAAATTCGATATTTTTAATAGGATGTGTGCGAATTTTAAATTTGAGTAATCACTTTTCGACTTGCTTTATTTCTGCTCATCCAAGTAACAGTTCCATGTTGTTTTTGAAATTTTGATACATTTATAGTATTACGACTAGTGATTTATAAATCAAGAGTGAGTATGCAAATCTTATTAAACCCTATAAATGTTCTTAAATTTAAATATGCATGTAATTTTTTTTTGCACTTTATTATGTGAATGCAACAGTTTCTTTTTTTTTTTTGTTAGAANATATTAATTGATAATAAATCAATAATTGATAAAAAGGGGAAAAAAATTTAGAATAAGTATCGGTTTTTTCGTTTCTGAATGAATTCTAATACTTAAAAGTATTTAATTTTCAACACTACTTATTTTTTTGATAAAAAATTTAGTGCTTAGAACATTATTGTTTACATAAAAATTATCATATTTGCCGCCAACATGACTTCGTAAGGCCCTTCGTTAGTCAACCTGCATTGCAATAAGTCCATCACTCAAAAAGGTTGTGCACCCCTAGTCTAGAATATGGATGTCTCCAAGGAACTTGGAATTGCCCAAATCATTATCTTTAAGCTTCAGCAATGATGTCAAGACGATGGAAATGTCAGTAGACGTTACAGTACAGGTTGCCCCTGAGTCACAATGCCGAAGGAGGACAGGTATTTGGCAGTAACTGCAAAAAGAAGCAACATCTGACAAGTTTTACCAGCTATCTGCATAGACGGATACCGCAGATTCAAGGTAATCCATGTACAGATGTTTGAAAAATATCGGTCTATGTGCTTGCAAGCCTGTCGTCTGTTAGATGTGTTTTGTTCGCAGCAACTTACTGTCGACAACGATTGGCCTGGATTAGAGAACATGCAATGTGAACATCGTCACAGTGGGCTTGTGTGATGTTTTCTGTCGAGTCTAGGCTTGTATGGATTGTATTTTATGGCAAGAGAGACATACAATGTATTATATATCATATCAACCATGTAATATTAAGTTTTTGTAAAGGAGGTATTTCATATAATAGCTCCAAGGAGCACGGATCATAGTTTTTATAAATGGTATCACACCATCTTATTTGTTTTGTATTTTTTGCTTAATAAATGGGCTTTATGAATAAGACAAGTTTGTTTTGTTTCTGAACCTTTATTTGCTACAGCTGGCATTATCCTTCATTAATGGACATGAGTGTAGATTGAAAAACCTTTAATCCTTATTATTAACTTTGAATAAGTCCTACTGAATTAAATCCTACTGTACTTTCTAAATCATTAAAAAAAATTTTTTTTTCCTGCTTTAAATTTGACGATGGAAATTTATTTAATTAGGTGAATAAAGCCATGAAAAATATTTTTTTTAAAAATAAAAACTCAAAATAAAAAGAAAATTAGATGATTTAAGTCAATTATAATCACCACTAAATATTTACAAACCATAAGTTTAACGACAAGGCACACTCTAAATATATAAAACTTGATTAAGAGAAAGAATTACAAAATTAAGTTTATAAAGAATTAAAATTAATATATGTGAAAACATTAACAAAATAACTATAAATCTATGTTCATGCTCTTCAAATATACAATATTTATGCTATCTGTGTTCACTTTAAACAAAATACATTTATATGGTCATATCACAGAATTTCTTTACATTGTGAACATTTTCATTGAATTTTTCTGTCCTCGGCTTGCAGACACGAATCATATCTTTTGTTCTTGATTGTTTTGGATGCATTTGAAACATTTGCTCTTCTTTTACATGCACTATGTAAACTTTTCAGTTAAGTCGTAACTCTTTGACATAGAAATTTTATTAAACCTATTTTTACTACTTTTTCCATTATTTTATATTATAATTTAGATCAAAATAAGTGAAAAATATCATATTTAGTATTTTAATAATTTATAAATACGAAATACAACATGAAAAAACCACTTTTTCTGTGTTAATGGTAAAATCTTCCAAACAATAATTTTTCAAATTTGCACTTATTTAGATCTAAGAGAAACAATTACTTATCACTGAAATTACATTAATTTACAAAAGCAATTATTGATAAATTTTTGAATATGAATGAAAAAGAATTTGTTTCAAACTACTTTTTTTGGATTTAATATGTTTACAATTAAAAAATACCAAAATTAAGTTTTGCTTGTAATTAAAGCATCAGAATAAAATATATATAAAAGGTACACAAGTGTCCCATCTGTATCAAAAGCTTAATCTCTGAGCGCATTGTTCAATACTCAATATTTTTATTAGCTGTAATATACTAAGTTCTTCAAAAACAGATGCTTGCTTCCAGATCAGACAGGTGGATTAACAGAGAAAAGTCCAATGATAATTACATCTATTACAAAAACATTCAGGGTAAAAAATCATTGGTTATTCTGACAGCTAAATATTTCATTAAAAGTGTTATTTCAAATCTTGCGTAGAAAGAAATATTAATACTCTCATATGCTGGAAATCAATATTTCATTTATATATTCCATTGGAAAAAATATTTACACAAACAGGCATGCGGGGTGTGCCATACCTCAGTTTTATCAAAATATTGTTAAACCCTTTTCTAAAATGCATCTTCAAATGAAAACTTATTCTAAAGTACAACAGTAAGTAGAAAATCTAAAACTAAAAGCAATAGAAAATTTTGATTTAACAAATTTGAAATATAATTTTTTTTTTTAAACAGGGATAAGATATACTTAGCACACATTTTGTGGGTTAATTAGTATTAATGTAATACACTAACAGTTTTACCAAATCTTTTCAAATGATGATATTTCAAGATGCAATTGAAAAATAATTTGAATTGGAACAACTTATACTTTTCAACTCAACTCTACAGAACTATATCTACATCCACACCAATATGCTAATGGTGAAATGTATTATAAAACAATTTATGCATAAGTGTGTATAGATATTTAGAGATCTCTCATTATTGCAGTTTCTAAAGGGAAAACATTTGCCGATTCTCACTAAATACTAACCAAAGATCATGTAATCAACACCAACCAAAGGCGCACAAAGAAAGTTTTGAAGCGAAAGTAACTCATTTGACCAGTTTAAATTGATTGAAAGTAACTATTTTTTGTCTGTTTAGATGGGTGGAGAGTGCTCCTCTCTAAATAAAAATTTTCAAATATGATTGTTGTTTATAGAATAAAAGTATAATAATTAGAAATATCATATAACAATCAAAGGATAACAACTGTAGTAATACAGTGCAAATGCAATGCAATCTTATCATAAAAATACTTAGCGTTCCTTTTTCGGTAGATTAGCCACACAAGCTATAAAATACTATATGGTCTGGAAAGAAGTTTCGGGAAAATTAAGAAAGATATAGATGTTAAAGAATTTCTTACTAGAAAATAATTAATACACTTTCATAAATAAAGATTGTTATCTTTATTTATGAAAGTGTATTAACAAATAATATGTTTATTATTTGTTTTACGTAGTATCACTTACTCTGAAAAAAGCAAATAAATTAAAAAAAATTAAATGTTTTAATAATTTTAAAGATTGCTAGCCTTTACTTAATAATAAATTATGTAATTTCTTATCCCACTTGACCAATAGCAACCCATCTGCTTACAATCAATAAAAAACCTTGCCAGGACATGAGAGCAGCTAGCACTTCAAAAATTTTACTCTCTGAGTACAGTTGCCTTAATAAGCCTGGTAAGTGTTCCTCGGTCGAATACGCAAAATATATCAAGAAATCCTCATAAGGCCCGCCAATATCCAAGAGGTGGTGAGTTCCATTCCATTCATTATGTACAGCTACAACACCGCTTTTTGGATTCTCACAAAACACAGACCCATACCTGCCAACTTTTACGCATTTGGTGTAAAATTTCATTTCTATGTTTAAAATGGTAGTAAAATGTATGCTATTTATATATTATTAATTTTGTGACCTGACATTATTTATTTAGGTAAAATGTCAGCAATTTAAAACTAATTAAATTGACATATAAAAAAAAATATACAACTATATTTTAAACTTACTTTAATAAATATACAACAAGCATAAAAAGAATTTTAGCTTGATTAAAATTTGTGTTGAGTTTGTGATGCCATAATCAAGGAATGCACAGTATCTTTCTTTTTCGAATGAATTTCAACATTTTCAATATTTTTACATACACTTAAGAGGATAAAATAAAGAAACAAAAACACATCATTGCTTGATTTATTTTAATTATGCTAATTTTAATGGTCAAGGAATATTTATTTAAACTATCAATGTAATTAGAAATCAATGCCAGTTTTTCATTATTATTATTTCCACTTTGACAGTTTCTCTGCGTTTTATGTGACAAATGCATAATCATGCTCAGGCAGAAATAATTACTGAAGTAAAAGTAAAACATATTTTAGAAAAGAAGGTAATTATTGATATGATTCTAGTACTAATTCTGCTAAAAAGCTGCTAATGAGCCAAATTATGAGCTTCTAAGCATCAATTGTAAATTCTGTTATGTAAATGTATGTATATGTATGTTCTGTCATGTATTGGCATAAGATTTTGAAAATATAGTTGAAAGAAATTATTCAAAATACAACAAGCTTAAATTACACTATAACAATAATTGTAACAGGCTAATAGTCATGCTTCATGAAAAGTAATTTACCACAGCATGTGATTGAGAGTAACACAGCATTTTTATTATAAACGAAAGTGTAATGTACCTAAAAATACACATTGATCAGACAAATAAAAGTAATCACATACTAAAACAACGAGAAACAAATCCAACATATTTCACGAAATGCCGAAAAATAAAAATGAAATAAAATAAAAAATGATTGACTTCAAAAAAAATTTATGAACTTAAAAAACAATGACAAAATAACTGTTGCCTAGCCTGAAAATTAAAAATTCTTTTTCAAAACAATTTAAATTAATAAACTCATATAAAAATCTGTTTTGAAATCTTAATAATTACCTGAAGTAATTATAAATGCTTTTCTAGGCTTTGCACTTGATTCTTGGACTGTATCCATTGCAACTGACTTGTAGTCTAAAAACAGACCTTGCCAAAAAAGATCTAAAAAGCAACAATAAATAAAAATTAATAAATAAGTATTTATTTAAATAATAACTAGCAAGAAAGTCAATACATAAAATAATGAATTATAGTACAAATTCTTCCATAGTAGATGATTGCCCAATTAAATAAAATAAGTTTGCCAATATTTTAGTAAATCAGGTTGCAACAAACCATCATTAAATCAAACCAGATTAAAATCAGGTTGTCATTAAAAAAATACATAGTTTCTAACAGAAAACCATACAAGAGTTGTTCAAATTTTAATACCTTTAAGTGCTCAAAACAGCATTAAGCCTGATTTTATAAAAAATCTAAACAAATATTTTATAGCAAAATATTAGAATAATGCAGGGATGCACAACCTTTAGCCAGTGGGACAAAAAAACTGACCTTCAAAGTTTATGACTTGGCACCTAAACTGTTAATTATTTAAAAAAAAAAAATTTTTAAATGAAAAAAATATAAAATTTCAAAAAAAGTTTTTTTTTTTGTTGAAAAAAATGGAGCTTTATTAATTGAAAAACTGTATTTATTAGAACTGTTCTAGTGCAAACCTAAACCATTTCATTTTCAAGTTTTATTTAGAGCCACGAGTTCAATGTACGCAGTTAAATGTTATTTCTTACTAATTTATGATAAATAATGTGTAAATACACATTATTATGATTACGATTTTGCAAGCATATGCGTGTTACTTAGAATTAAGATCTAAATGCATTTTACATCTTTACGATAATAGTTTTACCTTACTTAAATGGGTGATTAATTACTTAAAATAATCTTGTGACCTGCTATAAAAAAAGGATGTGCATTCATGGATTAATGTGTGTGCTCATTGCTTTCTAAAGTCACTGCAAGTGACTCACATGCTGAATACGATCCGAAAGCACTTCTTTTGTGGCTCAAAAAGTTTTCCTGTTAATCTTATGTTTTTTTTATAGTATGTTTTAATATTATGTTTTATTTTTTCCTTTATAGTATGTTTTAATATTATGTTTTATTTTTTCCTTATTAAATTCTTGAATGATGTTATAATTTTGTTAGTTTGGGGGGAAAATCATTGTTTTGATTATCTCTATTATTGTTTTTCTTTTATCTTATAATTTTGTTAGTTTGGGGGGAAAATCATTGCTTTTATTATCTCTATTATTGTTTTTTTTTATCTTTCGGCCTACAGGAAACTTAATTGATTATAACCCACAGCATAGTTAAAGCTGTACAAACTGGTTCCATCAATCACTGTTCCTGCCCCGTCCAGTTTTGGGCGTTTAGGAAATTTTATTGAACTCTAAAATCATTACAAATAATTCGGCAAGAGGCCAACAAAAGAAATTATACAACGTTTCTAAGTATGATCATATAACAAATGAATGAAAACTGCAATAAAAAATACCGATATAATATGAAAAAAAAATTGCAGCATGCTTTAAACACTATTTTAAAAGAGTTAACATAAAATTTGTCAAGAATACGTGTGTATATATATATATTCATTTAATAGCAACGGGTTATGAATAACTAATCACCAGGGATATTGTGATGGGAGGGAGGTCACAGTAATCGCTCATAAATTCTGACAGTTTGAATATTTGGAAAGTTTTGTTTGATACTCTGCAATTTAAATTTAGTCTATTGCTTAGTTTTCGGAAAGTATTATAAATGAAACTAGAAATTATTTGTGATTCAATCAAGGATAAAATAATTTAAATTTAAAAAAAAAAAAAAAAAAAAAAAACAATTCTTTTATAGATTTGCATGAAAAAGTAATAAAAAAATTACACGTATAACTTATAAAAAGCAAGTTTATATTATTCTCTTCTAATTTTCCAGGTAAGTCATTGGTTTTCAAATAACAATAATAACACAAAACAAATTAGTAACTTTTCATCTGCTTTCTTTAAAAATTTTATACAAAATTCTTGCAACACATTTTTAGATTAACTTTAAATAAAATGAAAATAATACCAGGAGAATTAGCCGAGACTATATAAACTCAGTTTTTAAAAGTTACACGCAATATTTAATGTATTACTTTTTATTTTTTCATGCATACTCATCAAAAGCTGTCATTCTATGAAAAAAATTTTAAGTTATTTCACTTTATACTTTTTAAGTCTAAAAATTCAATAAGTCTTTGAAAAAAATTGAACTCTACTTTTTTCCCCACAAGTATGTTTCAAAAGTGCAACTATTAAATAAAATAATCACAATTTCAGATAATTTTAGAAATGCTAATTCGGTAATGTAGCACTGATCCACATGCTATTCATTATGAAGACTGAACTTGGAAAAAATAAATAAGCATTAAAGAACATGCAATAAAATTTTAAACAAATCATTTACAGTTTTATTTATAACAGTAGCTAATGTTAATTTAATTGAGAAAAAAAAAATTTCGAAGATTTTTTTGGAACAGAATAAATAAAATTTTTGAGACCGGTGGTTAAAATTGCTCCTGACAGTAAATGTTTAAATTTCAAAACCGCGAACGGTTCTAGGGTTGTAAGTGATTCAAAATAATGTTCTACAACAAGAACAAACAAAATACTGAGTAATCACAATCGAAAAAATAAATAAAATTAAAGCTATTATCAGTAAATTTTAAACTTTGGTCCATTAACACGGGTTCATCCAGGTCAAATTTATTACCATTTAGCGGTACCTTCGCAAATTCAAATTCAGGAAAAACGGTAGTTTCACAAAAAACTTTTTCTTAAAAAATGTTTATTGTATCCCGTAAAAAATGATAAATCCATATTTTTGTGTTGATTTTTTAATATAATTTGAACAAATTATGCCTAAATTTTAAAACATTCATTCATATCCAATGACATGTTTCTCACAAAAATATATTAGAATTTTGTCATTAAATTAAGAATTACTCTCCAAGAAGAGTAAGCTTACTGCACATCTGATAATCACACAATCCCTTATAACTGGAAGTTATTGAATAACAGTTTTATTTTTAAATCATTACCAGTACAAGAAAAAAATGTGGATTAATTTTGGAAAATGTCCTTTCCAGTACTTGCACCAAAATAATCAAGTTTTGGTGACATACAGACTATGGCCCACGAGAAACTATAAGAAAAAAAATTTCCCAAATGAGAACCAACTCAAAGCGTATAACTCGTATCCACCCAGCAAACATATTTTTCTAAAACTTTTTGCAAGTTTAAAATTTCTTTGGCGACCGGGCGGATGTAGCTAGTGTGAACAGGTACCAACACAGAAATTTCCCCTGAATTTTTTTTTACAAGAAAGTTATATAAGGCTTCTTTAGAGTTTTTAACAATTAATTATTTTGAAAAAAAAACTTGATGAAGGAATAATTTTTCAGCATTAATGAGTAACTTCCATGTTTAGTAAATACGGTAAAAGTATTTGCCACATTAATAAACACAGAAGAAGATAAACTCTTTTATTGTTTGAGAAAATTTAGTAAATTCCAAAAAGGTGCTCATTAGTGGAAAGGAGCGAAATAAGGAGAGTTGAAAATATAGATATTTTTCTTACTCCATTTCTCTACACGTCCACCCTTCCATTTCTCAGGTAGCTGAAAACGTTGTTTAAATGAGGATAATTGTTTTGTAAATTTTTCTCGCAAATTTGATACATTTTTTATTAACATATTGAAATTATTCAGATTTTACTGATAAAAATAAAGAAACATATTTATATTCAGTATCCTTTTACAGCATCCTGCACTGTAAGATTTTAGCTCTTTTATTTTTTTAATTTTGACAGTGTTAAAACTAATATATTTAGATAACAATTAATATATAACAATTTATTTTACAATTAGACGACAATTATTACGACAATAATTACAATTATTATACGACAGTTTTTATCATCCAAGGTTTTTATTTATTTTCGATTCAAAGTATTTTCTTCGTTCGTATTCACTCAACTTGGTTTTCAGTTGTAACAGTTGAGTTTTTTTTCGTGGCATTTTAAAATGTGAAGTATATGAATTTCGGTTTGTAACGTTTTTTCCGTTTAAGAAAAATCGATTATTCAAAAGTAAAGGTCGTCAAGTCAAAAAAAAGTTACAGTTAAACAATTATTGTAAACATGCCTTACCAAGAATAGCAATTTATTTAAATAAGCTCATAAAACAGTTGATTTAAGTTGTTTTAGTATATACGATTATTTTGAATTTAAATTTTTTGCATCTGAAACATTAAAAGTTTTAATTAATTAATGAAATGTTTTCTTGTTTGTCCCCTTTTAAAAATTTTAAATGGCAACAATGCATTCCGTCGAAAGACGCCATTCTCCAATCGAAACATTGTGGAAAAATTGTGTTATCGTCGTTACATGATGTAATTGTTTTTGTAAATATTTGTGAAACCGGCATATATGACGGGCAAAAAATATAATTTGTGATATTGTGACTGTTCAAAAACTTTGGAATACTGAATAATAGCTATTGTCTTTCAAAAGAAGTACTAGCACTTCATCAGTTGTTTTCGATGAATGAATGACAGTTTAAAGTACATAATAAGCTTAACTGCATAATTAGTGTAGCAAAATACGACAAAATTCTATGTAGACTTAATATACCAATTGATGTGTCTATGTCGATTATTATTCTGGTGTATTAAATGTCTTAAATACAACGTGATAAATGAATAACAACAGCATGTACGCTAAGGGTAAAGGATCAACAGTTCCGTCGGATGCTCAAGCGAGAGAAAAGTAGGTTGATCCAATACTGTGTAGGATATCTTTATGATAGATATCTTAAAATATCTATCATATAAGTTGATATTAGATGTAATTTAGTTTTTCTCATTACTATGCATCATTATTGATTTTTTTTTAATTAACTAGTGATAGGTGTAAGAGATGCTTTCATTGTGTTTGTATTTTCAGCTTTTTAAATTGTTCGTTTAAAAATTTAAGTGAGCTTATTTATAATTAATTTATTGCACTAGTACTTTTTAAATTGTCAACTGTATTTATTTAAAGTATTGTTATGTTGCTGTTCACTCATTGTTAGCATTTTTCATTCTTTGAAAGTCTGTCGCTTATTGTATTTGTTTTATTCCATAATTGTATTTTATCGTATTTAAATAAGAATTTTTTCATCCCTGTTCTGCATCACAAGAGACTGCTGTCAAATTCTGTTTGTATGAATTACCTGTCAAAAAATTAGTAATAAGTCAGTGATAGTGCATTTTATTGCCAAATTTTTAACTATATGTTTATATTATTTTCAATATAGACAATTGAAAATACTATCAATGTAATTATTAACTTCATGAATATGTAAATATGTTTAATTTTGAGAGTTTTTTTTTTTTTTTTTTTTTTTTTTTTTTTTTTTTTTTNTTTTTTTTTTTTTTTTTTTTTTTTTTTTTTCAAATCAAATTTCATTTATTTTTGCTCACAATTGTGTGGAATTATTCAGAATAAAATTATTTGGTTTTTATGTCTTTAAAATACGATAAATAAATTGTACATATGTAGGATATGTGTTGTGTAAAATACAATATGATAATGGGAGATATTAATTTTTATTTTCTATTAGCAATTAATGTTTCTCATATTATTTTAAAAAATGTTATTAAGAATGTTAATTGCCTTAAATTTACGAAAACAAAAATTATAATAAACAAGAAAATTGTTCAAGCCACAGCAAACTTGCAACCTTGCCCATAACAATATCAGCTGTTAAAGTACATAATCAAAAGAAGCAATTAAGCTGTAAGCTGAATTTTAAGTTCTGTGATGCTGAATCACTAAATAGATTTCTCAAACCTTTAGCTAATTGTTAATCCACCTTAATGAATATGCTACTGTGGTGAGAGCCTTTCATTCTAGTCAACTGAATACAAATGTGACATAATGTAAAAAGTACTTTAATTTTAGGCAAAATTTTAAACAAAAGTAGTGACTGTCTTTTTTTTTTTTTTTTTCTTGTTCAGACAAAAGCTAATTATGAAAACCTCAGAAACTCCATTAAATCTTTTGTTCTTATATTTTCACCTGCGATTGAAGTATTCTGTAGTAGTATGTGGTACAAACAGGTTAATGAAGCATATATTTGTCTAATCATGCAAACATAAGTTACTACCAAAATGGAATTTCTTTTTGGAATCTTAATGTACGCTGCACATATTTAAGCTCTAGAATTGTAGATTTCCAACTTAAGGAGACTCAATCTTAGAAAATTAAAGTGGAAAAAAATTAGTTGAAGCAATCATCTTAACATGTTTCAAAACCAGAATGTAATTTTTCAATATTTTTCTTACTAAATTTTTTTAAAGCATTTTTTCCTCTCATTGTTCACGTTATCTCTTTATGTAATTCTATGCAAAGTTGAAATATGCTACGAAATTTGCATTGCTATGCCCATTACAGTATTTTCCATTCCAAAGGGCCCACGCTACGCGATTGCCACCTTGCAAAATACTATAAAATCGTAAATTTGGTGAATAAGATTGTTTTTTGGCGAATTATTTTTTTCTCAGAAAAGAAAAAATTTTAAGATTTTCATTTGGCGAAATCTTTTGAAAATTTGTAAATACTTTTGATATTTGGCTAATAATTTTAAATCTTTAGCACAGGCCCAGCATTCGGATTCGGTCACATGTTGGCAAAACAAAAAAACCTACTTAATTGTGTAGATTAGAATGATTTGTGACATTCGAAGATTACTTTGGTATTTAAGTTAGGTCGTTATATTTTTTTGAAAGTTAGGAAATATATATACTAAGTAATATAAATAAAGTAAGTGACTAATCAATGTATTAAGTTTTAATTTTATTATTATTATTATAGATTGGCTCTTTATGTTTATGAATATCTGTTGCATGTTGGAGCTCAAAAAGCAGCACAAACGTTTCTGTCAGAGGTATGGTTATAAATTGTTATAATATTTTTTGAAAATTTTTTCTTCATTTTCAACACAAATATAGAAAATTACAGCTATACAAATGCATTTTTGTTTTTGTTAAAATATTTAATGAAATATCTCCATTTTAAAGTATGCATTATTCAAAAGAAAATGTTAATAATGTAAAAGGATAGCGTAAGTATTGTTGCCTTTTTTATAATATTACATTTTTTTTCTTACATATATTAATGGATGTATCCATTAAATCATGTCTTACTCCAATTATGGTTTATTATTATTCTATTTTAGAAATTTTCTAAATTCTCTAAGTATAAAATGAATTAATTTATGAAATAAGTAAGTTAAAATTGATTTATTTACTTCAAAAATTATAAAACAATAATGGTTAAAAAATCTTATAAATATATTTTTTCTCTGTGGAAAAACTACTTTTTTTTCATTTAATAAATAGCTTTTTAGAATAAAAGAGTTTCTGCGATAAGAAAACAGCTTATATATTAATAATGTTATGAATATTCAAGGAAATGAAACCTTTTTATGCATTCCAAATGAATTTTTTTTTAAAAAGTAGATTAGGCTCTTAACGATCCAGTTAATTTTTGTGTTTATAGTGATTTTTAAATAATTATTTAATTTTGTATGTACGACCAAGTACAGTAAGCATCTGCTTTATCATACACAGATTATCCACAGTCTTGATTTTCTAAAAAGTTATGCAAGTTTAAATTAATAATTTAAATTGAAATTTTTAAAATCTAATTATTCTGGTTTTATTAAATTTTCTTCCTCACTATTTATTATAATAATGCAATGTACTTAATAACAAGGTGAATCTAAACTGATTTTTAAAACTATAAAGGAGATGTAAAGAGAACTTCTCTTTTGTCCCTTTTTGTAAAAATAAGCTGCCATACCTTAGTAACACTGCCCTTTTATGTATATTCCTTTAAAAAAAAATTTATTTACTGTTAAAATGATAAATTCACACTGTTAAAATTATCCGTGTTAATAGGCTTAATTCTGATAACTATTACAAATATATACTTTCTTAAAACCTTTAGTGAAAGATTTAGTTTGTTAGGATTATTCTCCAGCATTATCCTCACATTTCTCTTTTTTTTGTGTTTTTAAATTTTAAAATTATTTTTTTAATAAATCCCTTATTTTTTTCAATGTACCTTTAAATGGTTGTTTTCTTATAATTTTCATTATAAATTATAAAAAAAAGCTTTGAAGTAAGTTGTTTATCAATTAATCATTCTTTTAGTTTACTTTTTAAAAAAAAAATTGTACAGTGATTGTCTTTTGCATGCCTTAGATTTTGTATAAACTGTAAATTTTTTTCTTATTTTGATAGTGAAGAAGAATTTTTGACATGCACACATAAAATAGTATAAGAGGATATTTTTAAAAATTATTGAGGATCAAATTCAGTTCTTACATAACATAAATTTTATAAAATCAAAACTCAGAGTTCTGTGAGGATGCACACTGTCATTTTTTATTTTTAGGGAGAACTCTGCCTTCTCAATTTGTAATAAACATCAATAGCGTGAAAAACTTATATTGTTTATTTATTTATTGCATGAAAATCCTAAAAATTGATGCAGCACCTGGAAAAAAATACAACTACAAAAACGATGTAATTTTCCAATATTTGCAACTTTTTAAACTCTAGTACAATGTTGCAAAGGTTTCCAGATTTTTTTTAAAAGTGTTGTATGAACAACTGGCATTGTAAACTGCAACTTCATCAGTGGTTGTTATTTTTTATATTCAATATTTCTTTGTTGAATATCTCTTAAACTTTATTTACTTTTTCTTCGATGTAGTACTGTGGGCTTATATAATGTGTTATATCTATGTTTTAATATATACTTATAATAATTTATAATATATATATATAACCATGAAGACCAGTACATTGGCCCTAGTTGGGCTCAAAATTGGTCCCATAAGAACATGCACCGAGGGGCCTATGTCTAGATTTTTCAATATTGGTCCTAGAATAACTTTCAATATTGATACAAGATTCATTTCAATCTGGGACCAATATTGAAAAATCTAGACATCCCAATGTTTTCCCAACATTATAAATCCATAAAGGACCTATATAGAAAATGATATTGGTCCGTTATTGATTGTCATTCTAGGACCAATTTTGAAAGATCTAGACATCTCAATATTGGCTTGTAGATTGTTGTTTGAGACACGTGCGTTCAGATCACGCTTATGTGGGACTAGACTAAAGGACCCGTAATATCTGATCTAGACTGAGTATCAAAAGCAAGTGTGGGTCACTGTCACAAATTACAAGTCAATTGTTCACTATGTTCATTTATCTAAGTATGTGTGTTTCTATTGAGATACACATGTTCAGATCATGTATGAAAGTCACCTATATAGAGTGTTCGTTGAAAAAAGCCTGCCTTTGTGGGACGGCTAAATTTCCGACAATGTCAAACTTCAACTTCAAGGAGGTAGTCAAGGTAGAGCCAAGTTAACATACCTTATATACTAGGAAACTGGAATTTAAAAGTTGTAGTGGTAGTTACGCTACAGACTCTATTATGTAAGCCTACAAGAGTCTTATATAGAAATTAATATTGGTCCTATGTTCGAAACCATTCGAGGACCAATATTTAAAAATTTAGACACCCCAATAGTGGCCCTATATTGTAAGCCTATAAAGGTCCTACATAAAAAATAAATATTTGGCCAGAATATAAAGCCATTCTAGGACCTATTACGAAACTTACACAACTCAACCTCAGTCCGATATCGAAAGCCATTCTAAGACCATTTTCTAAAAATATATAAGACCATTATAGACTTGCAATTAAGGACCAGTTTTGTATTTACATCTATTAAACCTGGAAGGACTTAAAATATTTTTAAATATCCATTTCTAGTTCCTTAATAAGTGATTTACAATACGAACGAATCTACCTATAACAGATTTTTTTTTTTTGCTCATAAGACATTTTTGTTTATTTCACTTTAGTCCAAGTACAATATTCATTTTTTAAAAAGAAATATTTTTTCCTTGTCTATTAAACTTCTGATAGTTCATATAAAATTTTGGTAGAAGTATATAGGATTTAAAGAAAATTTCTGTTTGGGGTTATTTATTATGATATAAAAGAAACCACTGCATAAATGCTTCGTCTTAAAACTCTCTGCTGATCCAAATATCTTAAAACTTAATTAATAGAGCAATTACACACATATATTATAAAAAAGGAAAAATTGCTTTTACTCAATATACGGCTTTAAGGGGCAATACAGTGCGACTCGGCGTAGAATTCTTGATATTGCAGGATGTTACAAAATAGATTGAGAAAAGCATTTATTATTTACTTTTTAGATTTTATTTAACTGCAATAAAATATCGGGTTAACCGACATAGGCTGAATAACGACTATAAAATATCGGGTGAACTTAGCAAATCTGTATATGGCTGATATTGTCGAAATAAGAGCATTAAAATATAGGATCAATTTGGCAATTCTATATAGGGTAAACTTGGGCTGAATGGTGGCTATAAGATATCGGGTGAACTTGATAAATCTGCATAGGCACGATATTGGGTAAATGAGGGAAATAAAATATCGGGTGAATTTGACAATTTTACATAGGGTAAACATCGGCTGAATAGTGGCTATAAAATATCGGGTGAATCGAACATTTCTATATTTGTCTAATATTGGCCCTTTAAAACCTTGTTGAGCTAAGATTAGTGAATATTGGCCTAATGAGTTCCCAAGTTATTTTGCTGATAGGCTGTAGTTTAACACCACACAAATGTAATATCTTTTGTCACAGCCACTGTGGCTTTTTGATATTAAAGTTCTTAATTAGAAAGCTGTGTTTCTCCCATAAGTTGTGACCCTCTTTGATACTATGAGTAATATTCAATGTGAATATCATTTTCTGCACTTCTATATTTGTGTCTGATACCTTGCACCAGAAAGGTATGGTCATAGTTGCAACATTCCCATTGAAAGAGATATCAAAAATAAAATTGACTTACATTGAGAAATGAAAGTCCATGTAGTGTAAAGAAGAATTAATGTGACACTATTATTAGTTAGAAATTGATTTACTTATTTTAAACATATTCAAAACTCAGATACATAGGTTAAAACTCTAATTTGTGTTTATAATTAAATTTTTAGAAATGTAAGATAACATCCTTTGTTTTGATGTAGTTCTTAAGTTATAATTTATGTATTCGCTGTTCCTCAAAACTGTAATAAATACAATTACTTTTCTTTTATTAAATCAATTATCATAAACATGACTTATTATTTCATCAAAATGGAAAGGAAAAAAAAATTCTTGTTAAATGCATAAACTTTTTATTAAAATATTATATTTTCAATATTTTTGTTTTATAGATAAGATGGGAGAAAAATATAACTCTGGGTGAGCCTCCAGGCTTTTTGCACTCGTGGTGGTGGTAAGTGAAAAAAAATTTAATTCTTGGTTTTCATTTTTCTTATTCTTTGTTGTAAATTTAAGTAGCTGGCTAGTTGACCAGTGAAGGACCTAAAAAAAACTAGTTTTGAATTTTTCTTTGTCTCAAATGTTTTTGTAAAATTCTGAAGTTTTTACAAAAATAGATTACAGTAAAATTTGGATTTATATTATTAATGCTATAATGGATTTTTGTTGGTTTAGTAGTTAAGAAAATAACAATTTGTTTTTTTTCTCTGTCATTTTATACTTTTATTTCTAATGTACTTTTAACTTAAGTGACTTTAATTTTAAAAAAGAAATTTTAACATCTAAATATTCTAGTTTCACTTTTTATTTATTTATTTTTATTTTTTCAGTTGTATAGTTATATTTCCATGTTCTTAAAAATGTCAACTTTTATTTTTACTACTATTTTTTTTTCTTTCAGCCATTGTTTGCTAAGGTTTTTATTTCTTAATTTTCAAATTTGATTTTTCTCATTTTTCTACTTAATGGTTTCAATCTTAAAACTGTTTTTGTCATTTTACTTTTTGCATTTTTTAAGTTATAAATTCCTTCAAGCATCTTTGAATGTACTTTTCGTAAATTAGTTTTAAATTTGTTTTGAAGTTATTTGGTTAAGTTTTGTTCAAATCTACCTTCTTTTAATAGTCATTAGATTTATTTTATTAGAAATATTATACCTTAAATCTACTGAAACAAACTCTGTTATGTTGACCATATACATTATTTTTTTTTTAAATTATGAACTTAAAATAAAATAACAAGAAATATGAGAAACTAGCAAATTGTCAATCGTTTTCTCTAATATAACTGTGATCATTGACTTTACTTTTGCTTTTATGTTCAGAAGACGGTAATATGCGTGGTTAAAAATATTTTATTTAATTTGTTAATCTTATATCTGACTGAATTTTAAATTGTATTCTATTATGTATCATATCTTGTATTAAAATTTCTTTCTTCCTTTTTTCTCTACATTTTGGGTTGATTATAATTTAATTTTATACCATCTGAGTTTTGTAAAACAATTTATTTTTGTCTATTTTAATACTTGTTGCTGCTCTAAAAAAAAAAAAAAAAAATTATACTTTGTTTTCTTAACTTTTGTATCTATGTTTTGGAGACAGTAATATGCATGTTTGAATTTTATGAGTATGATTTAAAAGTTTTATTTATCATGCATCAGGTCTTAATTTAATTTGTTTGCCCTTCTCATTTTGGGTTGACTGTAATTGATTTTTATACCATCAATATTTGTTACTGCCTTTAAAAATGAAATCTAAGTTCTTTAAAATAAAATATGTTTTCCTACTCTCAATGTTTTTGTAATAACATGATTTCTGTTTACACTTTAGTGTTTTTTGGGATCTCTATTGTGCTGCACCTGAAAGAAGAGAAACGTGTGAACATTCTAGTGAAGCTAAAGCTTTTCATGACTATGTAAGTTTTATTTCTGAAACAATAAGAAGTCATTAATATTTTGCTAGCAGATAGTTATTTAAACTTCTGATCATTAAGTTTTGAAACGATATTTTATGATTTATTGATTGCTACTTATTACTTTTCTTTGAATAGCATAGAACTTTTTTTACTATATAATTTTCTTAAAAAATATAACAAAAACTGTGACTAATGCTCAGACTGCCTTCCACTTTTCAGTTTCACTATAATTTGTGTTATATTAGGTAGTTAGTACAGAGAAATGGTAGCTAGTACCCATTAACAGTCCACTTACTAGTACTTAAATCTCTGTTATTGCTTTTTAAATTACATTAAATATATTGCATTTCTTAAATAAATGTATTTTTAAACAGGTAAAGGAATGTCCTGGGATTTTTTTTTTTTTTTTCATGTGATATATAAAATTTTATTAATATTCCATTTTATATTTATCAATTCTCATGAACTCCTACTGGGGTTTCCTTATATTTAATTGTATAAAATGTTCAATTACTAAATTTAATCTAAATTGTATAATTTATTTTGAAATATTTTTAATAGATCCTTTTTTGTAAAATGTTGGGAAGCTCTTTCTGATCAAGCACAAAAACTTTTTCTACATTAAAATATGTTCACAACTTCTTTATATATTTTATCTAATCTGGTGATTTTGATCTAAGCCTGTGGTCATAAAACTTTTTAAATCTGCATATTTTATATTGTGCCCAATATGGTGTGTAGCAATTTCTTGAAATATATAATTAATGTCTTTATTGCAAAACTCAGAGATGTTTGTGTTTCGTGTTTTTCTTATCATTCTTCTGGGTCTGAAAGCAAGGAGCTGGGCATGTGAATTTCTCAGAATCAAAACCATTGGTACGTGCGAATCCAAATCCGCATTAACGTGAAGTTCACATACATGTGATTCTGTAGCAAATTGGTGAAAATCCACCACTTTGGTTTTATTGATTTTTGGCAGTTTGGATCTCCACAGTAATCCACTTTTATCGTGATTCATATTCAAGCCTCAACATCGATTTTTGTACTTATACTTAATTTAAACGCTATTCATTATGATACGTATTCACACAATCTAAAAATCATGCATCACAATTTCTATTCATTTAATTTAAAAATCCAATATGGTGATTTGTATTTTTGCATTTTTAGAATCCAATATCGTGATTCATATTTACGCTATTTTAAAAACCAATGTCGCAATACTTGTAAGAACTTAGTTTTTTCTTAAATTAGTTCTTTAAAAATGTGATATTCTTTATTGGTAGGCAATTTAATTATAAGTCTTCAAAATATGTTTAATATGAAATATGTATATAAGTTGCTATCTTGATATCAAGTTTCGGCACATAATATTTTTTGATTTTTTCACTTTGTGTCACAATCACCCCTGCTTAATACTGTAGCTGATTAAAATTTAGAAATATATCAGCTAAGATTAGCTATAAATGAGTAATCAATGCAGGCAATGCATTTACTAATGTTTTGAATATTTAATGGCCAAAAAAAAATTATAAAAATAAGCATTTGTTTTTAAATTCAGTTTGCTTTATCTAATTTTTAATAAGTCTAAAAAAAATTGATTCATAACAAAAATACGTTATTTTATTCTCATAAAGTATATTAAAAAAGTCTATGGATTTTATTTTTCTTAGCGAAAGTTTTTAGTTAAATTTTATCTTAAAGCATTAAACTTATTTCTTTAAAGAAGTAACTTAGTCATGCTTCTGATCAAACCTTTATTTTTTACAGGGCTTTGTAAATTCAGGTTATGCTGTAAATGGAATTGCACATGTAAGTATTTATTGTTATCAATCTGACTCGTTGTTGCAAAGGATAAGGAATCTTTTTTTTATTTGCCAGCCATAACATATTTAGTTAAAGTCCTGCAATTTAACAATATCTAAATTTTTCTGTGGTATCATTTTTCATTTAAAGAAGCATCAAAAATTGATACTTCTCAAATTTGATGGTATTCGGTGTCTATTAATTAAATTAAGACCTAGGTATTATTTAACCATAGAACTTTTTTTATCATCATCCAGGAATGAAACTTTCTGTTATTTGTCTGATATCTGATTTTTACCTCTCCCTTTCCTTTGTTTAAACTGACTTTAAATTAAAGAATAAAAATTCCTTGAAATTAAGTTTATTTATTAAAGATCGTTTTAATTTCTATGAAAAGCAGAACCAACACTTAATACCTTGCAATCAGTAGCAGTTGACTGTTTTGGTATCATATTATCATCTATGAATTTGTGCCAGCTGGAATGTCAGAATAAAAATTTTTTTCATTTGCTAAGTTTTAAAATGTTTTGAATTCGTAAATACCAGAGTAAAAAATATGAATTTTCATTGTGCCTTTTCCTAATATTAAACAAAATTAAAACTCAATTTAAACATTGGATATCATGCCTTTTTTCCAACAATATGTATGATTTTGCATAGTAGATTTGATCTGGTGTCGTATTGCTAGTAAACAAAACTAGGGACTTGAAGACACTATAGAATGATGTGGAAAGTCAGTGACCACGTTTGTTGTTTATATGTTAGCGTTAAATGTTAGGCACATTTTCTTATAAAAGTTAAAATACATAATTACCATTGCTTGTTGCAAAAGTTCTGTTGTCATGCTTAAAAAATCACAATCACATATTTTTTTTTTTTAATTATGAGATATATTCATAAAATATTTAATGAATTACAGATTATAAAACTTTAAAAAAATTTATATTTTTTATTTAAGTAACAGCGCTTTTAGATTATTAAATTTTTAAAGTACTTTGCATATCTGTTAATAGATAGTGACATCTATTGAAGTTTTTTGTTTGTTTTTCCCCCGCAAAGGGTATTTTTTTGTAGCCATCTACGAAGCATTCAAGTTTCACCATCATACGTTTTTAATGAGTATTTAACAGTTTTAGCATAACTAATTAGAGCTATAAAAAATTTTAATCAACATTTTATGTTCAAAAAATTTAAATGCCCAAAGAGTTGAAATTCTGGTATTATTAGCGAACAAAATTGTAATAAAGTTCATTCAATAATCATCCTTAAGTTTTTTTAATGATATAAATGATTTCCTATATATTATATGTACTAATTATTGTTTTGATTGTTTGAAATAAATATTATTATTTCTCAAATTACTTGTTTAAATTTTATTTTTTAAATTGTAACAAATTTCTAGAATTTTCTAATGTGACTTAGAATGTTTGTATCCTGTTGGTTAACCTCCTTGCGATCAAGAAAATTATCAATGAATTATGAAAACTTTTTGTTCCTTTCAGAACCCAACAGCCCCCAGCCCTTTGGGGCAAATGCCACCAAATGATGGAATGCCTGGAGGCCCAATGCCACCTGGTTTTTTCCCTGTAAGTATGCTTGTTTATTGCAATCCTTTATTTGTTTTTGAGTTCTAATTATAGCAAAAATCAATATAATATATTGATTTTCTCTATAATCTATATAAAGAAATCTGAGAAGAATTTAATTTAAATATATAAAAAGAATTGAAATTACGTATTTATGTTATTCTAATTTTTCCAATTTCTCTATTTTATTATCATTATTATTATTAAAAACTTGTGTTGTGGTTATCATTTTGCTTTTTTAGTTTATTCAATTAAAATTTTATATCAATGCAATTTATTATTTTATTCATATTTAGAAGGGAAAAGTAACTTTTTGTTTATTTTTAGTTTCTGACCCATATTTTAGTTCAGTGTAGTCACAATAACATTGCATGTTGTGACAGTATATTAGAACTGTTTAAGTATTGCAATATAAATCAATCGAAACATTTTCTATTTGTTTCTTCTCAAGGTTTTGTTTTGGTTTGACATAAGTACAACAATAGAATGATTTAAAATTACGCTTTTTGCCAAAATAAGCTTTGAATAATTAATGCTTTTTGTCATAACCAAACAAGAACAATTAACTTTTTACCTTGTTTAACATGTTCAATACTATGTCAGTTATTGGTGGCTGACACTACATTTTTCGTTCAGGCTGCATTAGTCATTTGTAACTGATAGTGAAAATATGATGAAAATTTATTTGTATTTGACTTTTTATTTATTTATTTTTTTTTCAATCTGTTAGCAAATGCAGTGCTTATGCCACACTACTGATGCTTCTTAACAGCGTGTGTGGCCTGATGGGGATTTTCTAACAAATACGTATGGCGCTCAACGTGTTAATTATTTACTAAGTAGTTGCAATTTCATAAGCTAAGCAAACTACAATATATAAATTTGTTTATTGTATGTTCCAATGCTCTAGAAAGTTTTTAAAAATATTTCATGTAAATAATAAATAGCTAGGTGCGTATTTTTGTGTTTTTAAATATTTGTATCTAAAAAAAATTTTTAAAGCATTTTATGATTAATCTGTTCTAGAATAATGACTTGTTAACGATAGATTAAATTATTTACTATACCATAGTAAACATTTACTATACCATAGTAAACATGTATATGTAGAATTTTTCTTTATATTTTCTCAGCCTTAACATACAATAGGAATAGACATGGAGTGGATTACTGCATTGCATGGATTACTGCATAAAATAAATCTGAACTAAATTTTAAACCTTGAAAAGAAAATTTTTGTTACTCCCTATGAATTCAGATTCAAATAAAAATATTCAAGAGCTATATACTCAAATTTAAATATTAAAAACTCTGTTATGTAATTCATCCTATAATAAAAATTTTTAGCCTTCCTCTTATCACGTGAACATAAGCTGGCTTTTGTATGGCATAATATGGACACTGCAATGCATGTAATTTAAATTTTCCAGTAATGTTTATACAGTCTTAATTTATCTTTTAGAACTCTCATATGCGGCCCTCACCGCCTCAACAACCTGCTTCTCAACCGTCCCCTCATCCTCAGCCTCCACCACATTCTCAGATGATGCAGAATCAGGTATGTATCAATTTTTAAATAATTTTTTTAAGGAAAATATTTGATTGTGTAGGGAATTGAATAAATTGTTTAAATTTTGTAGTGATTGACAAACATATAATTAACTTTACTAGTCGTAATTCTAATAATTTTTTTTTTTAAATTTATTTCCATTTATACATTTGCGTAAATTTTTTTCTTTATTTTTTAAGGTAAGTGTTATTTATTTAGAGTAGAATTTTTTTCTGTTCAGACTATCCTCCAAGTTGGGTGATGTGCTTAAAAGAAAAAAACGATTTTGCGTTTTGTTATAGCTTCTATAAATAACAAAAACACATCATTTATAATAATATGAATTTATTCTGTCAAATAATACTAAGTACATTATACAAAGTACAAATTTGTATTGACACATACATTTTCATCTATACTTACTTCAAGAAAGGAATTGGGTGTAAAATTTAAGATGCAACCTAAAAAATAAAAACAAAAATTATTTTTAATATGTTTAGTTGATATAAGTATTACTCAATCAATAAAGTTGATCCAAACAAAAAAGATTTATACAAAGTTTTTTTATGAAGATTTTGTTAGAAGATTGGTTTAAGCTGTTTGACATTTGTTTTAATGTAACGAAATGTCTTTAAATGCTTGATGATTCTTCTGAAAATATGTGTAATCATTGGTAAAAGTTCACTCAGTTAAAAAACAAATAATAATTGAAAAAAAAAACATTTAAAAATGCTTCAAATATTTTCTATGATTACACACATGTCCAGATGTATTATTTCTTTGTTTGAGTGCGTATGTATTTCTCATGACTTGAGTAAAATTGTTAAATAAATGGCATAATGCACATCAGGGGGTGCGAATGCTGTCTTGTAAGAACTGTGCCTGCGGAGATCCTGGTTGTGTGAGCAGCTCTGCAGTAGGATGTAACTCAGTGAAGGTAAGATTATGTCGAATGCAAAATCCTCAGTGCAAAAGCTTGGAGTTGTGTATTAATCATGCCTTAAATAATACTTATTTTTGCAGTGTTTAAAAGTAATCGAATGATTAATTGTTAGCATGATTTGTTTGATGTTAAAAATTATTTGCTTTAGTTTAGATTGTGCTTATTGACATATTTATGTAGGCTTACTATAAACAATTTTGTTAAACCTAAGTGCTGTGATTTAACAAAGCTTATGCATATTGCATTCAATTATCCCCATTTGAATATCTACTTTTTTTTATCCAGGTGCAGTTGTTTATTTATTTTTTTTTTTTTTCATAATGCATGCTTTTTCTTCTAAAATAATTATCAGCGATTGTGTAAAGCGTTTATGTACTTTTATTTGATTAATAATATTAAAAGCTTGCACTTTTGAAAGTTATTAATGCTAGCGAAATAAATTTAGGAGTGAGAAAAATTCTCTAAAATACTTTGGTAATCCTAGTCAATATACTCCTATTTGAAAAGTTTCTGTGTCCTTTACCAATATATCCAAAAGGATTCCCCAAAAATGAGAAAAGATCTTTTGCTGTATTAATAGAGAACAAATATTGTGTGCAACGAATTTAAAAGGAAGAAAAACGAAATTATTCAAGTAGTTTTATTTAAATTTATTTTATACGGTTTGACTAATTAAATGTTGCCAAATCTTTAAAAAAAAGTTTCAGTTACGAAATTTTTTGAATTGTGTATGTGTGCATAAACTCAGCCAATACTTATATGCATAATTTATTAGGCATTCATTTATGCTTAACCTGCTTCCTAAAAAATAAAAGATCTTCTGAAATATATTAAAACTTAGCTTTTTTTCTCTTGGGAATTATTTATTAACTTCAAGAAGTTTTTTCTTATCTCAAAGTCAATTAAGATTCATTTGTTTGTCCACTAATTTTAGAATATTGCAGTAACTATTTATTAATTTTTATTGGCTAGTGTAATATCAAATTAAAATGTATTTTTTAAAAAGAATCTGAAAAGTGGCAAACAGAAAAAAAGTTCTATACAAGCTTGCTCTTGTTCTTAATGCTCAAAGAACTAAAAATGTGACAATTCTGCATTATTTTCATAGATAAGATTTCATAAATAATTTATTAAAAAATTAGTGTTCCAATAATATAATTAAAAAATTGATTATACTATGAAAATGAAGTTCTTTACTTGCTTGTTTAAGTGTAGACAGAAATTTTAAAGTAAAAGTAGTCCTCTAATAATAAAATAGTCAACATTCATGGCCATTATTTATTTTGGTATCAAATTACAAAAAAAAATTTTTTTTGAACCTATAATTTTATGCTTATTCTATACAAAACTTCGTAAATTCTTATTATGACAAAATAAATTTTTTTTATTTTTTATTGCACAACTTATTATATTCTGCTGCACAAAACATGCAATGTGGTTATAGAGCAGTAGCATGTAGATCTGGAATATTTTTGTTGAAAGGATTACATGTAAAAAAAAAAAAAAACTAAACAAATTGTGTTATTTAAATTATAAAGCTCTGTAAAGTTAACTTTACTATAGATATTTACCCAGCCTAATATATATATTTTTGAATCCATTCTGAAATCTCATCGTATTTAAAGTTAAATATTAATAGAGGAATGATGAATTTTAATTAAGTAAGGAATATAAGTTGTGTATTGTTCATATTTCAATCAATTAAAGAAAGTAAATGAAATCCTGCAAATCATCAGTGAGATGCACACTTTTTTGTAAGCTGTGATCTATTTTTATGTATGAAAAATGACTGAAATTAACTCTTTGTTGTTCAAACTTTTCAAAAATCTTAAAGTTCTAAGGAATGAAGAAAATAGAAATTTAAAAAATTATAAATAAATTATAAATAGTTTCAATCAAGTTGGAGAATGAAAAATTTAATTCATATGACATAATTATAACTTCCTGGAGGGGAAGAAAAAAAACGTGTAGTGAATTAAGTTATTCAAACATGTTATGAAATAAAATGAAAAGTAGTAGTGTAGTTTTACTAAAATTTTATGAGGTGTTAATTTTACACTTCCTATATATTTTAAAAATAATTTACGAGTGAACTTTCTTAATTTTATTGTAAAGAATATACTTCACAGTTATATATTTTTTAAATATAAAATAAAAATGTGAAACCATTCCCAGCGTAACTTCAAATTGTTTCTAACGTCATTCATATTTCAAAATGTGTCAAATTCAGTGATTATATCAGTTAGAAGCACAATATTTCATAATTTTAATAATGAAACACTCTTGTAAGATTTTATGACTTTCTGAAAAATGTACATGCATTATGCAAATTAACCAGAACTTTTAATAGCTTACTAATATTATTTATAGAGCTTTAATCAATTATTTTTGATCTCATTTAGCATGTTTACTAGACATAATAATTAATTGTTGGTTTCTAAGCCTCCATAATATTTCTGCATAGTTTTTGAATGAAAATATTTTTTTTAAAAATAAATTGTAATAAATTCTTGTAATTTATTTAGAATATTTGTAATTTCCTTTTTGTCAGTGTCTAGGTTTTGTTAAAGAGTAATTAAATAATAATAAGTAGATTAGGAAAGTTTTTGATGACTAACTAAATTTAAAGGATCAGGTTCCAACAAAATCCAATAAAGGTATGTGATTAAATAAAGGTCTAAATTTTTTTTTACTGGAAGATAGTACAAAATTAATTAACAACAAATTTTTAAGGGACAGCATATCGTGACCTAAAAAAATATAAACACGTGATTTATGAAATTATGACAAGCATATAGTTAATTTAAAATCTAAATATAAAGTTCTCAGATTTGTAGTTTTTTGTAAAGTGTTCTACTAAGTCTTAAAAATCAGTTGGTGTTTTATTTTTAGCTCAGCTTATGAAAGTATTATTTAACATGTTACCTTCATATACTTTAACGATTACTGCATGCTCTGTTGGCACTTACACATTCTGTATGTAGGATTTTGTGTTTTTTTTTAAGAAAAACATTTTTATTTTGAACGAGACGGATAAATCTTTTGATGTGGAATCTCCTATATTTTGTAGATTACTGCATTCGCAATCGCTGGGTCATTTACTTGCGCAATATTAAGACATTTTTCATTGGTGCCGTAAATCAAAACAAACAAATGAAAAGAACCCTAACTTAGTGAACTTAGTGAAAACAATGTCACTTGAGTGAAGTTATTTTTTATTTACAAAAATATTCAGAACTGCCGTACAAGAAAAACAAGTAGACATTCTGGGTATCAAATACTACTTTTTTGGCCTCTGAAATTAACTGTGTTCCAAGAAGAGAATTCTAATATTTGCCATGAAAATTTGGGTCACCATATAAGTAAACAATAAATATTGTTGCTTTGTAATGTTTTATTGACTTTTTTTTGCTGATAGATAAATTATACATTAAAACCTTTTGGGTGTGTGTATCATATTAAAATTTGGGATAATTTAGTCATATAACACAAGAAATAAAAATTGTAGTTCCCATTTATGAAATAAATACATGTATGTTCTGAGAAAAAAATTATGAAACAAAACAGCAAGGAATATCTCTTTTGTCAAAAATAATTTTGTTAACTCATCTAAATTAATTTCTGGGGTGATAGAATCATGCAAATCTGACCTGATATTATTTCTCAAAAATTATAATTGAAAATTATCTGAGCAAAAATTTTGTTACATGCCATAAATATACAAAATATGGATTTTACTCTAAGTCAAAGATAAAGATGGGTAACTGGATGCAAAATACGACCTTAAAGTTAGTTTACTTACATAATAATCTTTTGGAAACTATAATAATTCACTTAAAATTCATAAAAAGTATGATTATTGAGTGAGAACACATGTAACTCAGATTTGAGCGTTATCTAATATTGAAATAGTTAATCGTTACATCATGTCATGAACAGTATTTCTCACATCCGAGTTTGTAATTTATTTGTAATTTTGCACCTTAATAAGACTTGCATATTCAACAACAATACAACATTCAACAGCAATACAACATTCAAAAGTGACTGTTGAATACTACAAATTGCTTTCATATAGCTTTGGAGAAGAAAACAATCAAATGATTTCTAAGTCACATTAGAAAAGGTTCCCTTAAATTCCAATGCCAATAAAATTTATTTGACGAATTACATTTCCAATATGACACTGTTAGAAGGTGCAGCCATGAAAAAAAAAAAAACTCAATTGCTTTCAAATGATTAAAATTTTTTGAAATGGAACTGGAAACAGTCAGAATTAGTTTAGATTAGCCAGATTCAGCTGCATAAATTTATCCATTGAAAGAATATCAAAGAGAATCATAAACAATAATTTCTGCATTGACATTGTAATTAACACAGAATTTTAGGGAGGGAGTTGTAGTTTAAACACTTATCTTTAATGCTGTTTGGAGTTTTAAATGGTCTTTATACAAGATAGGTAAGTAAATTTTTATAGTTTATCGTTTTAAATGTTTATATATATATATATATGAGTTCTCTTACTAATAATTTTAATAGGTATGCTACTTCGTAGTGATTAATTATTTTATTGCTGATCGAGCCTTACTCAATATATTCATATATTTGTGCTGGTTTAGTTATTGTTTAACATCATTTTTTTTAATATATATTTTATTTATGTTTTGCCACTCTTATGAAACAGAATTATTGAAGCTGTTTTTGATCATATATTTATTTGATCTTAAAATCATACTATTTATATATTTTTGGGTATTTTTAAACTTATTTATTAGATGTTCAAAAGAATAGAACTTATTATAAATTTCAATAGAATTATAAATTTCAAAATAAAAAAAATGATTCTGCCTTTTTAACATTTAAATTAATTTGTCTGAATTAACTGTTATAGCACAAATTCAGAACAAGTTTTTAGCGTTCTCATTAAACATTGTGATAAAATATCTCTATGCAAGTATAATCTTAGACTTATATCAAGCGTAAGAGTAATTCAA